GTAAAATCGATTCACATGTGCAAATTTTCTCGTGTGCGTTAGATTAAGACTCGATTTTATTAGGCAGACATGCACAGGAAACCCGTGAGGTACACAGGAAATAAGATTGAAAGATGAGCTTTGACCGTGACGAATGCACTTAGCATGTCTTGGAAAACTATCGAGAGACCAGAAATTTATTATTATTTTTATAATTATAATAATTTTATTATTATAATTATTAATTATTATTATTTTGGAATACTTCAAAAATATTCCTTTTGACATATTTCAATATTTCATTTGGAATTTTAGAAAATATTCTATTTCGAATATTTTAATAATATTTTCTTTGGAATATTTTGAAAATATTCCATTAAAAATATTAAAAAATATTCCATTTGGAATATATTTCAAAAATATTTTTAACCAAAAATATTCCTATTTGCATATTTCAATATTATTTCATTTGGAATTTTAGAAAATATTCCATTCGGAATATTGGAAAATATTCCATTTGGAATATTTTTATAGTATTTTCTTTGGAATATTTCAAAAATATTAAAAAATATTCCGTTTGCAATATATAAAAAATATTCCATTTGGAATATATTTCAAAAATATTTTTAACCAAAAATATTCCTATTTGGATATTTCAATATTTCATTTGGAATTTTAGAAAATATTCCATTTGGAATATTTTAATAGTATTTTCTTTGGAATATTTCAAAAATATTCTATTAGGAATATTTCAATCGTATTTTATATGAAATATATTTCAATGATAATATAGTTTAAAAATATTTCATTTATTTTCAATGATAATATGGTTCAAAAATATTCCATTTGGAATATTTTATTTGAAATTAAGTAAATATTCCGTTTGGAATATTTCAATAGCAATTTGTTTGGAATACACTTTAAAAATATTTTTAAAAATATAACTAAAATATTACAGAAATTTCCATTAAAAAACTTTTGAAAATCATTATAATATTATATTAATTGGAAATATTTTCGACAGTAATCTTATTTTAGAACAATTCTTAGACAAATACAAATATTCTCAATTTGAAAATATTTGATCAAAAAAATATTTATTCAAGAAAATATTCTCAATTAAAAAAAATTAAAAGTATAGAAAATATTATATAATTAGAAAATATTCTCAATTAAAAAAAAATTAGAATTAGAAAATATTCTCAATTAAAAAAGTATTAGAATTAGAAAAAAATGAATGGAATATTATTTCTCTGTAGAAAAATATTCTCGTTATTTTATATACATTATAGTCTTGACAATATTTCACGAGAATATTTTTGACGTATAATAAAAACCCTTTTTGCTCGATAATTGCGTGTGGAGTTGAGCACGTGGCAGTAGATTTAATAGCAAGTCGAAATATAACGAGACGTGTGCAGTCATTACTTATCCCGATGGACGATTTTTATTGTCCTTTTTCACGTTTTATTATTTTTTTCTTTTTATTTTCATATCACTTTCCATCTCTCTCTCTCTCTCTCTCTCTCAATTAAAAAATTAATAATAAAAAAAAATAATTCTATTTATTTTTCAAAAATAAATAAATAATTTATTTGTTTATTTAAACAAAAAATTTTAAATAAAAGTTTATTTATTTTTCACAAAAATAAGTAATTTATTTGTTTATTTAAACAAAAATTTTTAAATAAAAATTTATTTATTTTTAAAAAATAAATAATTTATTTATTTAAAAACAAATTTCTAAATAAAATTTTTATTTATTTTTTTATTCATTTATTTAATTGAAATATTATTAAAGAAAAAAAATTGTTAATGAGTAATTAGAAAGTACTCTAAATTGAAAATTAGTAAACAATTTTTTTTTCAAATAAAAGAAAAAATTTCTTTCTCAGTAAAATTTTCTGAATTATAAATAAAATAATTTTTTCTATTTTTATTTTTTGTTAATTATAATAAAAACATTCGCTTAGAATTTAGCCATTAAAATATTGTGAAATGAAACGAATTGGTTGGTGGAAAGCGAAGAGTAAATGAAAACTCGCTTGAAATTGACATTTTATGAAAGAAAATACAAAAAATATTTCGTATAATATGAAAATGTAGATAATGAGAGACAAAGGGGAAAAAATGACAAAGATATGTAGTTTCTGCATTTACTAGGGGTTTGATATTTTTTTTTCAAGAATCTCTACACGCATCGTTGATGCCCTTCTTTTATTTCAGCTTCATATTTACCCCAGAAATACACACCCTTCTTCAATTTTTTTTCCTCGCGCCCCAAAAAATTGCAAAAAAAAAAAAACCCCCAATGATAATTACTAAAAGAAAGAAAACGAAATTTCAGAATAATAAAAGAAATTTTTTTTTTAATATCACTTTTTGAATTTTTACTATAACAATAAGACAACATTTGTAATTAACAGCCTTTTTTTTAATTAAAAATTTGAATTTAATGTTAAATTCATAATCAGCGACTCAAAAAACCCCTATGTACCAAGTTTCTCGTAAATCCGTTAATTTTTTGCAAGTTATTATATGTTTGTGCCGCCATATTGAATCCGCCATTTTGTATTTTCGAAATCCGACTTTAGATTCGTAACCAGCGACCCCAAAAACCCCTATGTATCAACTTTCGCGTAAATCCATTAATTTTTACTAGTATTTTCTACTCTTGTGCCGCCATATTGGATCCGCCATTTTGTATTTTCGAAAACTATTATCAAATTCGTAACCAGTAAAAAATAATAATAATAAAAAAAAATAATAATAAATAAAAATAATAATAATAATAAAAAAAATAATAAAAAAATAATAATAAATAAAAATAATAATAAAAAAATAATAATAAATAAAAAAGTAATACTAATAAATTATAAAAATAATAAATAATATTAATAGTTAGAATTAAAATATAGTTAGACTAATAAAAAAATAATAAAAAAATAGAAAAAGGAAAATAATAAGAAATTAAAAAAAAACTGTAACAAAAAAGAGTAAAATTTCATTGAAAAATTGAAAGAAAAGAAAAGTAAATGAATGAAAATGAATGAAAGACAATAAAGACAATAGAGAAGAAAGAAATACATTTGGCTTTCTGGTGGCAACGACAATGTAACTCATTACGAAATTTACTCTTGCATTGCCCTGATCGTAAAAGCGTAACGAAAAAAAAAAATGAACTAACAAGATAGGAGAGGCTCAATTTTATATTCTTCTTCTCCTCCTCCTCCTTCTCCTCACAACAAAAATTTATTAAGTTTCAACCACTGTAATACAATTCTCACTCTACTTTTATTCAGAATATAAAATATGACAAAAAATAATATAATAATACGAGAAAATAATAAAATTTTCTCTTAAATAAATTTACATCAGGAAAAAATTATTTATTTCTATATATAAATTAACTTTTTTATAATTTTTATTTCAAATTTTTATTTTTTTTTCAATTTTTTCTATAAATTAATTTTTTTGTAATTTTTAATTCAATTTTTGAAAAGTTGCACACTTTTCTGTTCTTTTTAATTTTCAATTTCATTTTTTTTTTTACTTTTTGGTATTATTATTATGATTATTATTATATTGTTATTATATTTTTTTTATTTATAAAAAAATAATTATTCTAGTTTTTATAATTTATTTTACTTTTTATTATTTTTTGTTATATTTTTATAAATAAAAATTAGATTAATTTAATTTTAATTTTGAATTTATGTAAATATGTTAATTTTTGTTGTTATTTTTGACAAAAATTAATTTTATTTTGAAAACAGTTTAATATTTTTTGAGAAATAAAATTTTTTTTTGCAAAATAATTCTTTTTCAATATTTTTTCCTGTTTAGTATTTTATTATTTTCTTATTATTCAATTTCTTCATTATTTTAATTTAAATTCTATATTGATATTTTTTATTAATATTGTCCCGTTTTTATTACTTTTCATTATTATTATTTTTTAATTTCTATTTTTATTTCTTAATTTTTATTTTCATATATTTATGGTTTTTTTATTTTTATTTTTTAATTTTTATATTTTCTTATTTATATGATTATTTTTATAAATTATTTTTATAATAAATTATTTATTATTATTTTTCATTTCTATTTTTATTTCTTAATTTTTATTTTCTCATTTATTATTTTTTATTTTCTGTTTTCTATTTTTATTTGTTTTCTATTTTTTTATTTCTTTATTTTTATTTTCCCATTTATTATTTTTTATTTTATTTGTTTTCTATTTTTCTATTTATTAATTTTTATTTTTTAATGACTATTTTCTTTATTTCTTCATTACAAAAAAAAAAAAAAATACCAAAATTACAATTTTTTTCCGAAAATTTAAAAATAGTTACGATAATGTTTCTTAATTTTTATTTTCTTATTTCTTATTTTTTATTTTCTGTTTTTATTATTTAATTATTCATTTTTTATTTATGATAATTTATTATAATTAATTCTTATAATAAATTATTAATTATTATTTTTTATTTCTATTTTTTATTTTTATTTATTTTATATTTTTCTATTTTTATTTATTATTTGTTATTATTTTCTATTACTACTGTTTTCTTTATCTCCTTATTGCACAAAAATACTGTCAAAATTACAATTTTTTTTCGATAATACCTAATTCTAAAATAGTTACAAAAATAGAGAAAAAAGTTTATTTTAAAAAAAAAATTTTTTTTTGATTTTATTTTATCACTTAATTTTACTGTTCATCATTTTATATTTTCTTTATTTTTTTTGGGGGGGGGGGTATTAAGGTATTAAAATAGAAAATATTTTTTTGAAAAAATTGCAAAATAAAAAATTTCAATTAGAATTTAAATTTTGAGAGTCATTTGCTATTCATTTGTTTGTATATATTCAGTATGCGATGAGAATAAAATTGACAATTTTAATTAAATTTTCAACCGCTAGAGTGCGAAATTAGAAAATAATTATTTTGTGAATCCCACAAACGAGATTGTTTTCATCTGTCTATAAATATCGGTGAATTGAGAAGTGAATTTTCATAACTTACTTGGCGCGGAGGATATCCATGATCAACAAGGTGGTTCCTCCTGGGCAAGGCTTGTTCATTGCACGGTTTTTTTTAATTTCTTCTTTTGGAGAAAAATAGAAAGGCCGAACAAGCTGAACCTTTTGAGTACTTCAATTGTGAGTATATCGAGCGCAAAATTTTTGACTAATGCGGGATCTGCGTTCGCGCTGTCCCGTATGATTAATTAAATTCAAAAAATAATTATTTTCCTTTTTTTTCGAAATTTAACCTCGAAAAAAAATTTTTTTTTTGACAGTTCGCAACCGTAGTTAATATAAAAATTAAAATTCCTTTTTTCTTTCTTTTAAAAGTAACCTCCAAAAAGTTTTATGAAATATTTTTGTTGAAGTAAAACGAAAATTTTTTTTAAAAATTTATTTTAATTGATTGTAATTAATAAAATTGTAAAATTATAAAAATTAATATACTTCTTTTTTTTTTAAAGTAACCTCCAAAAAGTTTTATCAATATTTTTGTTGCAGTAAAAAGAAGAATTGTTTTTTTTCTAAATTCATTTTAATTAAGTAATTGTAATTAATAAAATTATAAAAACATAAAAATATTTTTATCGGAAGTAAAATGAAAATTATTTTTTTAAAAATTTATTTGACAGTTTTGCAATTTGAAAAAAATACTTATTCGCAAATATTGAAGAAATAAATAAATAAAACATAAATAAACTAAATATTCAAAATTTTTAAGAGAGGAATGAAAAAATTAAACAAATAGTACACAGGAAATTATTTTCTTGATAAAAAAAGTTACTGAGGCTAATTATTAATTAATTAATTAAAATTAATAAAGAGTTAATTAGGCAATTTTAGGATAAATAAATAAATAATTTTTACTAATAACTAAAAAAATGTTCTTTTGATAATAAATTTATTTACAATATTAAAAATTCCTTATAATGAATAAATAAATAAATAAATACCTATAGATAATAAACGTAAAAACAGAAAAGCAAATTTTTAATATTTTTTCTTTTTTATTAATGAAAAAGAAAAAAAACGAGACAGTGAAAATTAATGTCAATTATTGTGGGAAACGACTCTTGGGGCAATTAAAAAAAAATTGAAATAACAGGAAACACAAAGGGAAAATTACCATAAAATGAAATTTAAAACAATCAAGTTAAATTGAATTATTGAATTAAAATTACGAATTTTGCTTTTTTCATAATATAATGAGAGAAAATTCATTTTTTATTATAATAATTTAAAAAGTATTTTGATTTTTTTTGTCAATTAATTAAACATTTATTATTGTTTGCCTAATTTTTTTTATGATTCAATTTCATATTTTATTATTATTATTATTTTCATATTTTATTTATTTTGTAGTTAACAAAAATTAACTGAAAAAATTTTAACTTATCTTTAGAATATTTATTATTATTTAGAATAATGAAGACATTATTTAATATTATATAAGCAATAATAATAATGAAAATAATGACAATAGTAATAATAATATTAATAATAATAATAATAATAATAATAATAATAATATTTTATTATAAATAAATAAATAATAATAATAAAAATAAATTTACTTGTTTGTTTATTTTAATTATATTTTTAAATAAATAAAGAAATAAAATTGATGAATTAAGAAAAATAAAAATTTTAATAAAAATAATAAATAATAAATAAAACAGAAAATAATAATAATATTAATAATAATAATAATAATAATAATAATAATAATAATAATAATAATAATAATAATGAAAATTTTAACAAATGCTGGATTCAATTCTAGAAATTTTGCATAAAGAGAACATGCACAAAACGACATTTGAGATTTATGAACGACCCATATTCTCAACTCAAGGACCTATGTTAAGTGTCAATTGACAAAAAAAAAATGATAAACAATGAATTGTTTCCAAAAAAAGAAATTTTAAATTTTTCCAAATACCAACATTTTTTAATTAATTTATTTTATTTTCAAATAATTTTTTTTTCTTAAACAATTTTTTTTGAGTTATAATTCATCTAATGTTTTGTTATCTTTTTTTAATAATAAATTTAAAAATAAATTTTATTCTATATATATTTAAATCAGTGAATAATAATTTATTCATTCCATAATAATAAATAAATTAATTATAAACTAAATAAATTTGTATATTCAGTAGAAATAAAAAAAAAATTTTGCAGCAGAAAGTGCTGATGAATTAATATTTTATTAATATTTTATTTTTTTATTATTATTTTATAAAGAATTTTAATTGTTTAATAATTTTTTTTTAATTTTTTTTTTTTAGGTTTTGCGAGAAAAAAAATACAGACATATTACAAACTCGAATGACAATAAGTCCACATGAATTATAAAATAATAATTTTTATTAATTAATTAATATTAATTATTAATTAATAAATAATAATTTTTTATTTTATTATAATAATTTTTTATTTTATTAATAATAATAATTATTATTTTTTGCTTTAAGTTAATAATAATTAATTCGTAACGATAATTTGAGGAAGTAAACAATAAGATAAAATCGACTTCCCCAAACTTATTTCACCTTTAATTTTATTATTCTCTCTTTTTTTTCCTCCTACGCTGGTTCAATTCGTAATGAAAGTGTTTTTTCAAGCGGAACTTTCAATTCGCCTTAAGATCTCATTATTCGTGATTGTTGGGAGTGAAATATTTCGATTTCTTCTACTAGACACGTAATTATTTTTTTTATTATTACAACAACAACAACAACTATATAATAATTATTATTTCTTTTATAATTACGTGTGCAGAATATAATTCGTAAAATATTAAAAGTTCTATAATTATTTATTACTATTGTTTATTACTTTATGCTTTTCGTTTGTTATTCTAATATTTATTTATAATTAAATTATAATCATATTTATTTATAATTAAATTATTTTTTCTGAATAAGTTAAATGCTGTTGAAATAGTATATTTAATGTTTCTTTTTTAATTTTCATTGGAAAATTAATTTTTTTGATCAGAAAGTTCGCTTATTTGACACTAGGGCGGCGCTGTGACCTTTTTCTCTCACAAGCGTTGAATTTTCAGTCTCCAATGTTATTCTTATTCGTTATTTTCTTTTTGTAAATTACTAAAAATTTCTTTACGATAGAAAAAATTTATTGTTTAAATTAAAATTACAGAAATAAAAAAAAAGAAAATAAAAGTAATTTTTGAATTGAGAAAAAAACTTTTTTTTTTCGCCGATAAAATTTATTTTTTCTTCAAGAAATAAAAAAATAGATCAGACGGAATTTAATGAAAAGAAGTTTGCGAGTGAAGTTTGCAAGACAAAGTGTCGACTGTAATTAACTAATTGTCTGAGAACTATGGAGAGTGCGCTTCTTTTTCTCCTGTATTTGGCAAACGCGTGTCTGAAAGTAATATTGCCACTAAAAGTTTTGTACCCAAGCTACTTGAGGTTTTTGTCGACAGCCTCTTTCCGCTCTCAGACGCTCGCCAAGCATCACAGGGGAGTCCCAATTAACATTCACTCAGACAAATTTTTCCTTTTTTTAATTTTTTCTTCCAAAAGAAATTTAAAAAAAAAAATTTTTTTGTCTTTTAAAAAAAAAATAATTCTATGAGCCTTTTTTCTATTTTTTTTGTTTTTCTATAAATATATATTTAACTGTCTTTTTTGGAATTAAAAAATAAAAAAAAAACAAAAAAAATAATAATGAATTCACCACTTGTGAGAGAAAGTCATTGCAGCGCCACCCTAGTGTCAAAATTGCATACTTTTCGCCCTGGGAATTTTTTTTCTATTAAAAATTCTTCGTAAATTGGGGAATTTATTATTACGGAATTTAATTTGTGGGAAATATTCACTAAAGCGCCGCCCTAGTGTCGAAAATATGTACTTTGTGCTGGCAATTTTTTTTCTCTTCTTTAAACGCAAAAATATGTTTAATTTAATATAAATAATTATTCATATAAATTTAATTTAATAATTTTTATTAACAGTAATAATTATTTAGAAAATAAAATAAAATAAATTATTTGAACAATAATAGTTATTATTTTACATAAATAATTTTACATAAATAATTTTAATATAGATTTAATTTAATAATTTTTATTAATAATAAATAATAACTTAACATAAATCATTGAATATAAATTAAATTTCATTGTTTTTATTAACAATAATAATTATTTGAAAAATAAAATTAAATAAAAAATTATTTAATTATTTAATTTAATAATTTTTATTAATAATAAATAATTGTTTAACATAAATAATTGAATATAAATTTAATTTTATTATTTTTAATAATAATAATATTAATAATAATAATAATTATTATTATTTGATATAAATAATTGAATATAAATTTAATTTAATAATTTTTTTCAACAATAATAATTTTTTGGAGAAAAAAATATTTTATATATTTTACTTTTTTTGTTGTCGAATTTTTTTACTCGGTTTTGAATTTACTTTTTTTACATGAATATAAGTTTGACGTCTGCTGGTAATGGGAAATATGATTTTTTTAAAAAAAGGTGGAAAAAAAAATAAATACTTTGACAAAGACTTAAAGCTCTTTTCCTCTTATCCCCACCACTGGTCCATGACGATAACGCAGCATCCGTATCTGACATTGCGCTACCTGTGGATCAATATCAGCAAAGCGTATGTTACACTCACTTCTTTCAGGTGCAACTATCAAACGAAAATCTTATTTACAAAAAAAATTTTCCTCTTTTATTTTTTAAATAAATAATAATAATAATAATAATAAATAATAATTTAATAAAAATAATAATTATTTAATAATAAATAAATATTTAATTTAATAAATTCAATTGTATTTTTTCTGTTAGTAATATTAAATTTATTATTTACTATTAATAGATTATTTCTTATTATAAATTATAAATTTACTAATAACAATAAATAATTATTTAATTAAAAAAAAATTTATTACTATTTCTTTCTTAATAATTAATTGTCAATAATTTTATTCATAACTATTAATAAATAAATAAATTACTAATAACAATCATAGGGGAGTTTCAATTAAAATTCACATTGACAAAAATTTTCCATTTTAATTTTCTTTCAAAAACAAATTAATTTTTTCAAAAAATATTTTTCACCTTTTTTTTGTTGTTTTTCTTTATTTTATGATATTTTTTTCTTTTATAAATTTGATGTAACTGAAAAAAATAAAATAAATTGCCCACTTGTGAGAAAAAATCATCGCAGCGCCGCCCTTGTGGCAAAATTCTGTACTTTTTGTTTAAAAAAATATTTTTTCTTTTGAAATTCTCGGTAAATAGGAAAATTTGTTTTTCGAAATTCAAAGTTTGTGGGAAATATTCACGAAAGCGCCGCCCTAGTGTTAGAAATATGAACTTTTTGCTTGAAATATATTTTTTTAATTCTTCAAACGCAAAAAATATATTAAAAATTAAAAAGTGATTAGTAATTTACAAATAGAAAGTTATTGCAAATATTACATAAGGAATAAAAAGAACATTTGAGCCAAGAAATTCTGCGCTTGTGAGAAGAAATCGTCGCAGCGCCGCCCTAATGTCAAAATTCTGTACTTTTTTATTTCAAAATATTTTTTTCTATCAAAATTATTATTTTTTATATTATTATTATTATTATTATTATTATTATTATTATTATTATTATTATTATTATTATTATTATTATTATTATTATTATTTATTATTATACATATACATAATATTATTAATAATAAATAATTCACTAAAAAAAATTTAAATTATTTAAAAATTATTAAAACAAATTAATATTAATTACTAATTTAGTTTCGTGAAAAATTCTGAGATAATTCAAATATTAATTATTATTAATAGTTAATAATTCTTCTATTTTATTTATTATTTTTATTTTTTTTTTGTAATTTAAAATTTAAGATTTAAAATTTAATATTAAAAAAATAAAAATTTTAATTATTTAATAATTATTATTATGGAAAATTATGAATTTTTATTATTTTGAACAAGTAAATTTTTTTTCATATTAAAAAAAAATAAATAATTTTTTTCTCTTTATCTTTTAAGGTCTATTATTTGCGGGGAAATAAAAAGCCAATATTGAGTTCATTTCCATTTCGAAATGGGAAATCGAATAAACGAAGTGACGAGTTGGCAGTGACGCGAAGATGAAATTTAATTTGCTGACTAACTCACTCTTTTGCCATAAATATATATATATATATATATATATCAAAATAAAGATGTTATGCAAATTTGAGAAAAAATTATTTTTTTTCACTTCAGACATAATTTAATTTGATAATTAATTTTCTCACGTGCGTAGCTTTTTTTTTCTTTAGAAAAAAAATTTCTTTTTTTTTTCTTTAGATAAAGTAGTAGTTGTATTTTATCTCTTTTCGTGAAGATTGTCAAATATTTTATTTGGCGCCTGAAAAAGATCTTTTGTACACACTGCTGTGATAGTTCAGAGCACGTTTCACAGGCCGAGGTAAAAATTACTTAATTAAAGCAACTTCTCTCTTAATTAGATGATTAAAAATCCAATTGTGTTTTTACGTTTTTCGATGGAAAACTAAATTTGTTTTATTCTCCTTCTCTTCAAAAAAAAAAAAAAAAAAAATTAAGAAAGAAAAATTAGAATTTGTTTATTTATTTATTATATTATTTTTTATAAGTTAATTAAAATATTTTAATAATAATAATAATAATTGTCAAGAACAACTTAATATTAATAAACTTTTATAAAATCAATTTTTTATAATAATAATATTATAATCATTAATAATATATTATAATTATTATTTTATTGTTATTGTAAAATTAACAATTTGTTTATTTATTATTAATTATTTTACTAATTTTGTAATTCATTGATAATGAGTAATATTGTTAAGAAAATTTTTTTCATTCATTATTTATAATTATAAATTCTAATTCTTTATTTAAATAAATTTATTAATAACAATAATTTATTTAATTAAATAAATAAATATTTTAATAATTATAATGAATTAATATAAAATGATATAATAATATAATAATATAATAATATTAATAATATTGATAATTATTTTATTATTATTATTAATTTTGATTATTTTTTATTATTTTTATATTGTTAACAAACCGTAGGCTTTAATTTTATTTTCATTAAATTGATCCTATAATTAAAAAAAAATTCACAGTCAGTAAGAATCGAACCCCTAACATTTTTGCATAACGATCACCAACCTTACCACCTGAGCCATCATGAAGTTAAAAAATAAATTTTTTTGAAAAAAAATAAAATACGCATTTTTAAGTTGAAAATTATTGGGAAAATATTGAAAAAAATAGAAAAAAACTGAAAATAATATTTCTAATTGGAAAATAATAATTTTTTAAAAATAATTATATTTCTATTTTTGGAAAATAATAATTTTTGAAAAATAATTTTTAAAATAATATTTTTTAAACTATTTTTTAAATATTATTAAAACGAAAAAAAATGAAAGAATTGTAAGAAAAGGAAAACAGTAACAAAGGCATATATTACCTATTGATGATAATAATGATAATAAAAAAAAAGAAATTCCATAGTTTCGCATTTATTTTAATGCAAAATTGTCGCGACGATCGATGGACGATTGCGGATGATCGTACAACCTCGTTTGGTGTTGCCAGTGCCTCGGCATCTTTCGCTTTACGTATTATATAACATTATACAATACGTACTATACAAAGTTGCTGAGAAAATCGATCCGTGACTTGTTATACTTGACCTACCGCAATAAGTTATTGACTCGATTTCTGTTATTTTTTTCTCGAAATTTCTAGTTTTCATCAATATTAATGCGTTAATATAGAATTATAAATAAATAATCATTATTATTCAGTAATTTTATTTTTATTAAACACCTATGTAAAAAATTACTTTACAGGTAGAACAGAAATTAGAAAAATAACTAACTAACTAACTAACTATCTGAATTTTTGCCAAAAAAAATTAAAATTACATTTTTCAGTTAATTTTCTCAGAAAATTTTACTTGATTCTTTTATATTATTATCAAAATCAATTAGTTGTCTATTAAACTACGTGCCTTAACTATTATTTTTCCATTTAGTTACAATTTTTTTTTGAGTAGAATTCTACATTACCGACTGACGAAATAGAATTTTTACCTATTCCTTTTTGAAAATATTTGTGTTTTTTGAACTGTTAGAAAATATCTAAATGAAAAACCAATGTTTACGGAATACGATGATTGCGAAGTTAAGGTAGAGTGCGACATTATCGACTAAATAAAACAGTGAAATTTTTCCTTTTTTTAAAAATATATTTTGTGTTCTTTACAATGTTACTTAATATCAACAACTAACAACAAACAGTTTTTATATTGCTTAATTGCGAAATGCGATGTTAAGGTAGAATTTGACATTATCGACAGAAATTTTTCTTCTGTTTGGAAATTTTTATGTTGATGACTAAACTAAAAACAAAGTGGCATTTTTTTTGTAAAACGTTAAAATAGAATTTTACATTACCGACTATTTAAAAAGTAGAAATATTTCTTTGATAATTTCTACTTTATCATTAGTCGGTAATTTTTTTCTAGAGTGCTTGGTGGTATCCCCTTAAGGCCCATTTTCAATAAATAACACTAAAAATAATTAAGTATTTAGAAAAGACATTTTAATTATCGACAGATGAAAAAGTGGAATTTCTCTTTATCTACTGTCGGTAATATCAAATTCGCTATTATCTGTTGATATTAATTGTAGTAATTTATTTTTTTATTATTTAAAATATATTTACTATCGATATTATTATTATTATAATTATAATTATCATCATTATAATAATTATTTTTTTTTTATTATAATTTATTTATTTACTTATTTTCAAAATAGAAAAATTTCTCTACGTAAAAATAAAGTATTGTATTAAAATAAATTTTTTTATCTACTGTCCACTTTGCTTCTTCTTATTTCTGACACAAGTTTTAAATTTCCTAAGTGTTTTATCAGGTGTTTCCAAAAATAGTTTCACATTGTCGATAAGAGAACAGAATTTCTGTTTTGGATAGTAATAGGCTAACTTCATTGTGAATGATGCAAGTTCGGCGTTTATTGAAAAAACTGATTTGTACACGCTAAGGTCGGCTTCTCTTTTATTCTGGAAAAAAATGAAATTAAGAAATGTATTAGTTCAATACGTGGATAATTAAGTTAATTAAAAAACAAATATTTTATAATTACAAAAAAATTAATTAATATCAGATAAAAAATTACCTTGCTAAATATAGTAACTTTACAAATTAGTTAATTTTTTGTATTACTAATTAGTTAACTAATTGATAAATTATTTTACTAATAATTTAACTAATTAAGTAATTTTTTAACTAATTTCTCAACTAATTGACTAATTATTTTACTAATTGACTAATTATTTAACTAATGACTTAACTAATTAACTTATTATTTTACTAATGAGTTAACTAGTTGACTAATTATTCTACTAATGAGTTAACTAATTAACCAATTATTTTACTAATAATTTAACTAATTAAGTAAATATTTTACTAATTATATTATTATTATTATTATTATTATTATTATTATTATTATTATTATTATTATTATTATTATTATTATTATTATTATTATTATTATTATTATTATTATTATTATTATTATTATTATTATTTTTGACTAATTATATTACTAATAGGATAACTAATTAATTAATTAATCTTCTAATGAGTTAACCAATTTATTAATTATTTTACTAATGAGTTAACTAATTAACTAATTAACTTTTTAATTAGTTAACTAAATAGACTACTAATAAGTTAACTAATTGACTAATTATTTAATTAATGAGGTAACTAATAGACTAATTATTCTACTAGTAAGTTACCTAATTAACTTAATATTTTACTAATGAGATTATTTAACTAATTATCTTATTTATTAATTAACTAATTACTTTATAATGAGTTAACTAATTATTAATAAACTTAATAATGAGTAAAATAATTATTTTACTAATGAGTTAACAAATTTAAATAATTATATTACTAATGGGATAAATAATTAATTAATTATTTTACTAATGAGTTGAACAATTTATTAATTATTTAACTAATGAGTTAACTAATTAGCTAATTAACTTTCGAATTAGTTATCAAAATAAATTTCGAATAAATAAACTAATTATCTTACTAATGAGTTATCTAATTAATTAATTGTATTACTAATGAGTCAATTAATTGACTAATTATTTTACTAATGAGTTAACTAATTGACTAATTATTTAATTAATGAGGTAACTAATTAACTTAATATTTAATATTTTACTAATGAGATTATTTAACTAATTATCTTATTTATGAATAAACTAATTACTTTATTTATGAGTTAACTAATAATTACTAATAAACTTAATAATGAGTAAAAAATTATTTTACTAATGAGTTAACTAATTTATTAATTATTTTACTAATGAGTTAACTAATTCATTAATTATTTTAGTAATTAGTTAACTAATTAACTATTTATATTATTTATGAGTAAGCAAATTGGTTTACTAATGAATTTACTAACCTAATGAGTAAACTAATTATTTAACTTAATTAACTTAATAATCAGTTAATCAAATTAATTACAAATTAGTAAACTAATTTACTGAATAAATAATAAACAGCACTAATTACTAATGAGTCAATTAATTAACTTGTTATTTGCAAAATAAATAAACCTATGAATAATTAGATACTTTATTTTGCTAATTAGTTAGCAAGTTTTATAAATTAATTAAATATTTAAGTTGAGTTTTTTTTTTAAATAAACAAATTATTTTATTTATTATGAATTAAATTATTCTACTAATCAGTTAACTAAGTAAGTAGCTTATTAGTTAGCTAATTAATCGATTAATTACGTAGCTAATTATTTTACTAATTACGTAACTAATAATTTTACTAATTAGTTTCCTAATCAATTTACTAATTTTCTAGATAAATATTTACCTAATTACGTAGCTAATTAGTTAACTAATTTTGTTGCTAATTGGATAACTAATGACATTGCTAATTAGTTTACTAATTAGGTAGTTAAGCAATATAGTGATTTTGTAGCTAATTTGTTTACTAATTAGCTAGTTATAAAGTTTACTAATTAGTTAACTAATATATTGACTAACTATGCAGCTAACTAATTTACTAATTTGCTAGCTAAACAGTTAACTAATTAAGTAGATTATTAGATTGCTAATATTTTTACTAATTGCTAAGATAGTTAAGCAACTAATTAATCAACTAATACAGAAGCTAATTTGTTAAATATTTAGCTAATTAATTAATTAATTATTAATTAATTAATTAATTGATTAATTGATTAATTGATTATTTGATTAATTATTAATTGATTAACTGATTAATTGATTAATTGATTAATTGATTAATTTATTAATTTATTAATTTATTAATTTATTAATTTATTAATTTATTAATTTATTAATTGATTAATTGATTAATTGATTAATTAATTAATTAATTAATTAATTTTAGAAGCAATTTATAGAAAAACAAATTTGAGAAATATTTTTCAAATACTACTCACTTTTATAATACATTTTTGGTTTTTATCACAGTTGTTGGCTGCGTCGTTAAATCCTTTCAAAACACTTAAGAGTCTATCTCCCTTTTTCTCAATGCTTTGTAGAAAATTATTGGCTGGTTTTTGAACTGAATCAATGCATTTATTAACTGATTCAACAGCTGCCGAAACTGCTCTTTCAAAAGCTAATACATCATTGTAGCAAAATGATATATCAACATCTTGAGTATTGTCTGCTACTTGTTGTGCTGCGTCTTGAACCTTTTTTTTGAGAAAAAAAAATTAAAATTAGATTCACTCTATTTTAACGATAAAATTTTATTTCCCAATTTTCGATTAATAAACGTTGAATAAAAATATTTTTTTTTTTGCAAAATTTTTTCATTTAAATTAAATTGAATTTTTTTGGTATTAATTCTAATAAAATAAAACAAAAGAGTAGAAAATTAGTTGAAAAATTTTCTATTCTACTAAATTAGTGATAAGGGAGAGAAAAAATTTTTTCGTTGCTTTAGCTCAATTGGTTAGGGCGTAGCCAACGGTCAAATTACGTTGGCCACAGGTGAACTGGGTTCGAAACCTGTTGAGGATTTTTTTTTTTCAAGTACAGTAAAATTTTTTTTCCTTATTTCGTAAAATAATTTATGTACGATAAAGGCATAATAAATTAAAATAAATAAATAAATAATAAAAAATTATTAATTAATTCTTATTTATTAGTTCATTTTTGTTTAATAAAAAAATTTGTTGGCAAAACAAAATCTTTGGAATAAAATAATTTTTTTTTACAAATTCTAGTAATAAAAATAAAAAATTTAAGAATGTTTTAAAATTAATTCTTTATGAATTTATTTTAAATGTTTTTAAAAATGAATTTAAATGAATTTAAAGTGAAAGAAAAATATTACTTACATATTTTAATTCTGCGGCATATTTTGCTTGTGTTGATTCTCTTATTCTTTGACCATCTACTTTAAGTTTTCTTATTTTATTTTCTGCTGAAGCTTTTTTATAAACTATCTTTGATTTTGCTTCGCGAATAATTTTTCCAATTTCTACATTTTCTACAACTTTTGGTTCTTCAGTGACTGGTTCAGCTGTTTCAGTCACTTCAGGTGTTGTTGTTTCAGGCGCGACTGTTTCAGTCACTTCAGGAGTTGTTGTTTCAGGCGCGACTGTTTCAGTCACTTCAGGAGTTGTTGTTTCAGGCGCTACTGTCTCAGTGACTTCAGGAGTTGTTGTTTCAGGCGCAACAGTTTCAGTAACCTCAGAAGTTGTTGTTTCAGGTGCAGCGGTTTCAGTAACTTCAGAAGTTGTTGTTTCAGGTGCAATTGTTTCAGTAACCTCAGGAGTTGTTGTTTCAGGCACAACTGTCTCAGTGACTTCAGGAGTTGTTGTTTCAGGCACAACGGTTTCAGTCACTTCAGGAGTTGTTTCAGACACAACGGTTTCAGTCACTTCAGGTTCAGGTGTTTCAGTAACTTCAGCAGTTGTTGTTTCAGGCTCAACGGTTTCAGTAACTTCAGGTTCAGGTGTTTCAGGTGCAACTGTTTCAGTAACTTCAGGAGTTGTTTCAGGTTCAACGGTTTCGGTAACTTCAGGTTCAGGTGTTTCAGGTGCAACTGTTTCAGTAACTTCAGGAGTTGTTTCAGGTTCAACGGTTTCGGTAACTTCAGGTTCAGGTGTTTCAGGTGCAACTGTTTCAGTAACTTCAGCAGTTGTTGTTTCAGGCTCAACGGTTTCGGTAACTTCAGGTTCAGGTGTTTCAGGCTCAACTGTCTCAGTCACTTCAGGTTCAGGTGTTTCAGGCTCAACTGTCTCAGTAACTTCAGGTTCAGGTGTTTCAGGCTCATTTGTTTCAGTCACTTCAGATTCAGGTGTTTCAGGTTCTATATCCTCAAACTTTTGTTCTTCAGGCTGAACTTCCTCGATTTCTTCAATTTCAGGTGTTTCAGGTTCAACCACTATAGTTTCGGGTGTTTCAGGCTGAACTTCTTTGATTTCTTCAATTTCAGTTGTTTCAGGTTCAAACCCTTGACTTCCATTATCTTGTTCCCTATCAATGACAAAAGCATTGACAGTCTGAAAAAAATTCAATTATTTATTTACAAAAAAAATTCCCTAATTTTAAGAAAATTTCTTTTTTTTTATACCAACCAGAACAACAGCACAGAGTAAAAATAAAAGTTTCACCATTTTTAAAAATTTATTCCTACTTTTAGAATGTTAGCTTTTTCAAATGGTACATGCATTTTTATATCCCAATTTTTGTTTATGCAAATTTTTATTTCCTCCTCTCACCCCTTGTCCCCTTTTTTGCAAAGAATATATTTTTTTTTGTATAATTGCCATAATTTGTAAATTTCAATAAAGAAAAATTATCATGATAATTAAATTTATTGATACGAAGAATAGAATACAGCATCTAGAATATATTTTTTTGTTTATTGTAAGCTCTAGATACATTATTTTTTTTGTTAAATTAAATTTTGCATTTATTATTGTTAAGAAAAAAACAGGACACCAACTGTATTTACAGAAAGATATTGAATGATTGATTTTTAGATTTTATTTGCACTTAATTAAACACATGTGTCTGTGACGTATTTATATTTAAATTCTTTTTTTGTTATTTTGATTAGAAAGTTGAATGTGTTATTAATTTTTTTTCTTAAAGATGTAGTGACAGGAAAGTAAAAAGATAATGCATATTAATGTTTATAGGAGGAAATTTTTTTATTCTTTTGGTGTAAATAAGATGATGTAATAATTGAAATACGATTCTTTTATTTTCCTTTCTTTGAAATTAGTTAATTTAATTAAATATAGTTAAATTAATTACATATAATTAAGTTAATTAAATATAATTAAATTAATTAAATTAAATTTTAAAATTAGAATTTGAATTTGATTAATTATGGAGGGAAAAATTAATTTTGTTGATATACTGATGCAGGAGGGTAACTACTATTCTCATAATATTTCCACTGAATCCACAGTGGATGATGAGGACAGTAATTGGAAATTTTTATCTGCAGAGTAGAAATTGAAGAAAGTTTTCTGAATTTTAGAGAATATTGGTTTGCAGTTGTTGTGCATTTTCTATTTCTGAATAAAAGAATAAAAGTTGAGAAAATTGTCGGTTATATTTTGAACCAACGATTTTAGTTAGACTAAGCTTCTTAGGTTTTTGAAGACTTCTGCGATAAGAATAATTTTGTTCAAGTTGCTTTTTAATTTAATTTAGAAGTGATACCATCAAAGTTATCAGCGATTTATGTTAGGAGCAATACCATGAATCATCTACGATTTTGGTTAGAAGAATTAACGTTACTATAGATGACTTTCCTTAGGAGCAGCGTCCTTAAAGTCATACACGATTCTGGTTAGGAGCAGTAGCGAAAGTTTTTTTTTATTTCGAGTAGAATCCCACAATTATATAGTTAGCCAAAGCTTCTTGCCGTTTTGATGACCTGTTGTCAACAAAAACAATCGAAGTCGCAAGATTTAGGTCTTAGATTTTGATCCCATAAATAATTATGGGAATAATTAATTATAGAATTAATTATAGAATTAATTATAGAAGCTTAGGCTAACTATAAAGTTAGCCTAAGCTTCTTGACTTTTTGATGACCTGCTTCATCAAAAACAATCTAAGTCGCAAGATTTAAGTGTTAGATTTAGATCCCAGAATTATAGTTAGCCTAAACTTCTTGCTGTTTTGATGTCTTCAAATAATTATTTAAATGTCTTAAAAACATGCCATGTCACTAATTTTAAGAGTTAGTGTTTGATCCCACGATAGTTAGCCTAAGCTTTTTGCCTTTTTGATGATTTCTAATAATTGTTTTGATGTCTTCAGAAAATCCAAATAGCCAAATTAAATTGTTAGATATCGAACCCATGATTATAGTTAGCCTAAGCTTTTTGCCGTTTTGATGACCTGTGTCATAAAACTATTCCAAATCGAAAAATTAAATCGTTAGATTTTGATCCCATGATTATAGTTACCCTAAGCTTTTTGCATTTCTGATGACCTGTTGTCATAAAAAACAATCTAAGGCGCAAGATTTAGGTGTTAGGTGTTGTTCCCACGATTAAAGTTAGCCTAAGCTTCTTGTAGTTTTGATGTTTTCAAATGATTGTTTTTATGTCTTCAAAACAATCCAAGTCACGAAATTTAAGTGTTAGATTTTGATCCCACGATTATAGTTAGCCAAAGCTTCTTGCCATTTTAATGTATTTAAATGATTGTCTTGATGTCTTCAAAACAATCCAAGTAGTAAAATGAAAGCGTTAGATTTTTATCCCACGATTATAGTTAGCCTAAGCCTTTTGTTGTTTTAATGACCTGTTTCATAAAAAAAAAATCTAAGTCGCAAGATTTAAGTGTTAGATGTTGATCCGTCGATTATAGTTAGCCTAAGCTTCTTGGAGTTTTAATGTCTTACAATAATTGTTTTAATATCTTCAAAAAATCCAAACAGCAAATTAAAGTGTTAGATTTCGAACCTTCGATTATAGTTAGCCTAAGCTTCTTGTTGTTTTGATGTCTTCAAAACAATTCAAGTAGCAAAATCAACGTCTTAGATTTTGATGCCACAATTATGGTTTTGCCGTTTTGATGACCTGTGCCATTAAAACAATCCAAGTCGCAAAATTTAAGTGTTAGTGTTTGATCCCAAAATAGTTAGCCTAAGCTTCTTGCCGTTTCGGTGTCTTCAAAACAATCCAAATCGCAAAATTAAAGTGATAGATTTTAGTCCTACGATATTGTGGTCAGCCTAAGCTTTTTACCGTTTTGATGACCTGTGAGTTAAAATTCTTTTTGTTGAATCCCTCTTCGATTTTAGTTACGAGCAACACCATCAAAGTCATCTATAACTTTAGGAGTAATAGTTCTAATCTAATCAAAAACGAGCATGACAACATTTAGTAAAAATATATTTCTCTCTTCCTCTTTCGAAAATAAATAACATCAGAATGTCTTCCTCTACCTTATTTGCATATCTACTCTTTTCATATAAAGACGAGTTGAAACTAAAGAAAAATTCTAAAAGAAAAATGCCAAATCAGTTCAATAAAAAAATGCCATCTCTACGCTTCGAAACAAATAATGATAATGACTAATTTCGTGCTGCGCGCTCGTTTATATACTCGTCTAGATCCGGGTGGGGATAACGTCCGGTGGTGGGGAGCGCTCGGGCGCTGATTGGCTACTTCGAAACTCAGGAGCGGCACACGCTTCTATTGCGCCCCAAACGTAACAACTGAATTTTTATCCACTAGAAAGGTGACAAAAATGAAATGTAACAAAATTTTCAATTAATTTTTCAATAAAAGCGACTTTATTTACTAACAATACAATTTGTCTAAGCAGAACTATTTTTATTTTTTTTTCTCATATGACACCAAGTATGGCGTTATGAATTTTTTTTCCACAATTCCTTACAGTTTGGCTTCTCGCTTCTTTGCGCGAACACATAATTTAAATTTATGAACACAATAACCTGGCGTTTGTAGCCACAATTTGAAATCATCAATTGCTGGACAGAATGATAATTTTGCTCGATAATATAGTGAAGTGATTTTGAATTTGAAAATTTTTGATTTCATCTCACTGACTGTATCGGCAAGAACTGTGGACGCTTGCTTTTGAATCTAGAAGAGAAAAATTTTTATCTTCATTAATTTTTTGAAAATTTGATAACAAAATTTTTTTTTAATTAGAATAAAAAAAAAATTTTTTAATTCGAAAAAATTATACTTAGAAAAGAATTTTTTTTTAATTAAAATAAAGAAATTTTTTTAATTAAAAAAAAAAATATTACTGACCTTTGCCTCGCATTCTTTATTTTGAGCACATGATTTTGTACTTTGAAGAGCCAATTCTAAATTGTCGTTTATAAAATTAACATTTTTATTAATACTTTCAATAAAATTATTAACAGAATTTTGAGTCGAATCGACGCAGTCGTAAACTTTTTGAATTGCCACCGCAACTTCAGATTCATAATTTCTTATGTATTTATCACATTCTCGAAGATCGACTCCTGGTGCAATGGTCTTCCAGGCATTTGTTTGCTGGATCACCTAAAAAAATTTAATTTCAAGAAGAATTTTTTTTTATTAATTTCAAATTTTTTTTTTAGTTTTTCGAAGTTGTACTTAATTTTCCAAATCCACAACATTTTAAAATAATTAAAAATTGTTTTTTAAAGTAAATAAAGAGACCTTAAAATTAAAAAATTTTAAATTGGTTTCAGTTAACAATTTTTTTATATTTTTAGTTTTTTATTTATTTTATTTATTTTTTCTTTTTGTTGTAAAATAAAACATTTTTTTTATTATTTTAGGAATTTTTGCAAATATTTTTACATTTGTTTTCGGTAAAAAAGGATTCAAATTTAATGTTAATTTTTTATTTAGTTCACTTTTTTTATTTTTCATTTGTTTAAATTTACCATTTTGTATAATTTTTAATTTTTCTTACTTTTATTTTTCTTTTAATTTTTTGATTTTGGAGTAAAAAGTATTAATTAAAAAAGTATTAATATGATTTTTTAAATAAAAAAAATATTTTTATTCTCAGTTTTCAATTTTAATTACTTTTATTTTCTATTGTAAAGTATAAAAATATTTTTATTTTCTTTGCAAAAAAGTAAATTTTTTTTTGAAGTGAGGTTTTGAATTTTTTTTTTTACAGTAAAATTAAATTTTAATTTAATTTATTTTTTTTTGCTTTTATTGTGACTTTAATTCTTTTTTAATTAAAGCTTTACAGTCAAAACTATTTTTATTTTAGTTCAGTTTTTTTTCTATTTGTTTTTCTTTTGCATTTTGCAAAATATTTTTTGAATATTTTTCTAAAGTGAAAAAATAATACTAAAATCTATTTTGCAGTTGAGAAAAAAATTAAACAGTTTAAAAAAACAATTTTTTTTTGAATTTTTAAAATAAAATTTCTTTCTTTGTTTTAATTTAATTTAAATTTTGTGTAAAATTTTGCTTATAAAAATATTGTTTTCAGTGATGTAAAGAAAAATACTCACAAATTTCATATCGTCATCGTGATACTTTCTAGTGGAATTTTTTACTTTAATTCCAGTTTCTTTGTAATTTTTTGTCAATGACAAAACTTCGTCTCTTGCTTTTGTTATCGATTCATTAGCTTTTTTGAAAAGTTGAGCAATTTCGATATTTTCGAATTCTTCAATTAAATTTTCATTCTCTTCATAAGGTTCATCATTTTGGAATATATCCACATCGTCAGTGAATGAAGCACTGACCGTCTGTGAAAAAAAAAATTTTTAATCTAAATGATATTAAAAGAAATTTTTTTTATATTATACTTAAAAAAAAACGAGAAACATATTTTTAAAAAATATTTTTAATTTACTGAATTTTTTTATTTTTTTTTTTTTATATATTTAACAATTTATACAGGCTTACAAAAAGAAAAATTATTAATTTTGCATGCATATAATAAACATTTTTTAATCTATTAAAATAATTTATATTTACATATTTTTTTATATATTTAAATATTTATATACTTTTTATTTCATTTAAATATTTATTTACATATGTTTAATAATAAATAATAATTATAATTGAAATAATTAAAAAAAAAAATAAAAAAAAATAATAATAATAATTAAAAAAATAAAAAAAAATAATAATAATAATTAAAAAAAATAATAATTAAAAATATATTTGTAAATTTTATAATTACAGTTATTTTTATACTTTTATAATTTTTATAATTATTTTAAGCAATAATAATTATAATTTTATATTTATAAAGTTTTTAAAGTTTTTTTTTTTTTTTTTTTTTTTATTTTTATTATAAAAATTTAATATTTCTTTTTATTTAATATTTTAATGTACTTTTTTTTATAAAAAATTCATTTTTTAAAATTATACTTACGCTGTATAAGGCGAGAGCAGAAAGTAAAAATACAAATTTCCTCATGATTGATTGTTAATGAAAAATATAAGAGTGATTTTTATTTTATATACTAAGCGTTTTTTTATCATGCAAATAATAGTTTTTTTTTTAAAAAAGACCCACTTAATTAGTAGATTTATAAAAAGGTGAAAATAAATTATCATTGTAATGAGCAAGCAAAGTGGAAGGAATCTCTAAAAATTACTTCCCTCTCTTAACATTGAGGAATATTTTTTTCTTCGCCTAATTTTATTTATTGATATTCAAAAAAAACATCTGCACTTTGAGAATATTTGAATAGAATTGAATTTACGATTGTCGCAATTTTTTCCTTCTCCTATTTACTTTTATATTAAAAAAGAAATTTTAGAGCCGAAAATACAAATCTACTTCTTTGTTTTTTTGAATTAATTAAATTTTTTTTGTAAATTAAAAATTTTTTTTTAAATTTTCAAAAAGTAAATTTAAATATTCTAAATTCGAGGGGAATTACAGTTTAAAAATAGGAAGAATAAAATAAAAATAATAAAATTTAAAATAATAATATATTTTGTTGATTGATAGAAAAACAATTTTAGTCTTTGAATAAAATAATAATAATAAAAATAATATCTAGATATAAAATAAAATATAAATAAATATATATAAAACAATAATTTATAGAATGTATAAATAATAAAAATATCTTGATAAAAAAATAAAAAAAATTCCAAACTGAAAAACTTAAAATTACGTAAAGATTTATAAAAGTAAATAAAAAAATATTCTTTCTAATATTTATATTTCTTAAAAAACTATTTTTTTACTAAAAAATATAAAAATAAATAGACGTATCGAATTGGTTACAAAAAAAATATTTATAAATAGAAAAAAATATATATAAAAAAAATAATTTAATAATATTTAATTAATAATAAAAAAATAAATAAGGAAATAGAAAAGAACTAAAAAAATTACCTTAATTTATAAAGCATCTCGGACGTTAAATATTATTTAACTTAAGAACAAATTAAATAATTAAATAAATGTATATTAAAAATTAGGTTTTTAATAAAATACAAAAAAAAATTAATTCTTTATTTATTTACTTTCATTTTATTCTAAAGTATTCGAAAAGTAAATTTTATTACGATTTATCTTTATTTAATACCCTTTTCTTTTTCGAAAGACACGAAGAATTATTACTGTTTTTCCATTTTCTGCAAATAAAATTTTTAGATGCATTTTCCCAGAGGACAATCGTGCAGCGCCAGTGCAGCGCTGACTGCTCCCGACTGAATGACTCGCACGCCGTTATCGCTTCGTATTTATACCCCTGTCCGCGCGTCAAGGTCGCCACTCGCTATTGGTCCCCCTCTCTCTCCCCCAATGCGAGTAGGCGGAGTCGAGTCTGCGCCTAGTATCTATAAAGCGCGCGTTATTTTAAAACCACATAATTTCACTTTCTCTTTTTCCCTCTCATATGAGTTACAAAAAAAAAAATTGTTTACCCAATTTTTAATTATTTTCAAATTCAATCAAATTTTGCAAATAAAATTTTTTTTTTTCTGTTACAGAATTGGAATAACAGGCGAAAAAAGGGACTTTTCAATTTTGGTGTTTGCCTCGTCAAATGGAATATAAAGGTGAGAGTGATGGATAAATGAATATTCGTTATTTTTATTTAATTTTTTATTATATTTATATGAATAATTGGTAAAATATTTTTTTTTTTTATTTTCTATTATGATTTTTTAATTTAATATTATTTACTAATATTTATTTACTTTAAACTAAATGTGTTTGTAATTTAAAAGTAAGATACATTTGACATTCTCGTTCCACACGTTGTTTAAATTCGTAAGTATCAGGCATCAAGAAAAGCTGATAATATCTTCGAAGGCACATTGGATTAACACAATTTGAATTACAACTTCGAAAGCCGCTTGTTACACTTAAGCAAGTTAAATATTTTAAGACAATTTGGTTTACCTGAAATAATAAAATATTAATAATAATAATTTTAATAATAATAATAATAACATTAAAAATAATATTATTAATAATTGTTAATTAATAATTTTATTTTAGTACTAATTTTTATTTTATTTATTCTTATTATTTTATTATATTATGTATACGTTATTATTACTATTAATATTTATTAATTTTTAAATAAATAAATAAATATTAATATTTATTTATTACTAATAGAACACATGATTTTTTTTACAAATAAATAATAAAATAAAATTATAAATAATAAAAAATACTAACCTTAAGAATGCATGCGCGATTTTCGTTTTCGCGACATTTTTTCGCTGTTTTTATATTTTCCTCGATGAAATTAATATTTGTTTTGTGGAGTAGATCAAATTTCACATCTAATGTTTTTATGTCATCATTTTTTTTATTTAAACAAATTGTGTAATTATTCAATGCTTCTGCTCTGCTATTTCTTAAAACCTCAATACATTCTCCTTCGCATTTTCTATCGCTGCTTCTTAATAACTGTACGTAAAGAAAAGTACAAATATAATTTTATAAATTTTTTAATTTTGACATAAATTAATAATTTATTACCTACTGACCTATTATTTTTTTTCAACACAGATTTAAAATATCTCTTCGTTTCGAACTAAATTAAACATTTATCACTAATTAAAAAAAAAAAAAAAAAAAAAAAAAATTGACCTATTTTTAATACTGATATTTGACCTACAATAAAAGTTTTTAACCTATTGACGACCTAATTTTTTATGAACTTTGAATTCAATTTTTTACCGCGTATTTTGAAGGGTTTATTGGCTATTGGCTTAAATTAAAATTTTTTGACCTAATTTTAATGTATTTTTTTGACCTAAATATGGACCTAAATTAAATCTTCGAATTATACTTTAGAACTAATTTTTAAGCCATGTTTAACGTTTTCTAATTTAAAAATTAAATTAAATTTAATTTAATTTAAAAATTCAAAAAATTTTGACCTAATTATGATTTTAACCTAATTTAAAAAACTTCTGTTTCACTGTTGACCTAAATTAGAAAATTTTTAATCTAATCAATTTTGACATATCAATTTTGACCTCATTTCATTACTATAACATTTTATTTAACACTTGACCTAAATTTGACCTAAAATTAAAATTCTTTAATGTATTGACTCAAATTCAAAATCAACACAATTTTTCCTGTTTTAACAAAAATGTAGAATTCCTGACTGCTTGTTTTTATTATTATTTTGACCTAATTTTCATAGCATATTTTTTGACCCAAATTAAAAGTTTATGATTAATAATTGACTTTTAATTCAAAAATCAAATTTTTGACTTGATTTTGAGAAAGAAAAATTTGTTCATTTGACCTAAATTTTGATTAAATTTTATGTACAAGAAGCAAAATTTTATTTTCTTAATCTTGTGATTATTGACCTAAATTCTGAGTTCACAGTCTTTTGACTTATGATTAAAAATACGTTTTTCAGTTTAAACATTTTAATTGATTAATTAAAAATTAAATTTAACTACAGTTAAAAATTAAAAAAAAAAATTTTTTTTAATGACTTTTCTTAGAATGATTTAAAAAAAATTGTAATTGAAAAAATTACTATTTTATTTATTGTAAATTAGTAAAAACTCACTTGCTCCGCATAATCTTGAATATATACTGCTTCTATTGAAATCAACTCACTCAGTCTGCTATTAATTTCTTCTAAATATGAATTACCATTAACATGGCTATAATTAAAACAAATTAAAAGTTATTAAAAATTTAATAAAAATCATTAAGATAATTTAAATGAAAATAAGTAACAATTATTATTTATTTTAATTAATAAATTAATAAATTAATTAATAAATTAATTAATAAATTAATTAATAAATAAATTAATAAATTAATATATTAACAAATTAATAAATAATTGTTAAAAAATTAATAAACTGATTATTCATTAAAGTGTTTAGAGGAAACTTACAAAGCTCGTTTAATAAAAATTTCAGATGCATTTCGAGAATCTTTTTCAATATTTTCTAATTTAGTAATCGAGGTTTCCAAAAGATCATGCAAGTCATCATCATTTAAATGACTATAATCAATTTCTGTAGCATAATTAAGCTAAACAAAAATTATTATTATTATTATTATTATTATTATTGATAATAAAAAAAGTAAATTTGAAACTAAAAAAATCCAAGAAAAAATTTTAAAATACAATTCTTTCTCTATGAGGATGCAAAAGTAATAAATAAATAATAATTATTATTATAAAAAAAACAACAAATGAAAAAAAAAATTTAAAGAAAATACAAAAGAATATTTTTAATCATATAAAAAATTACATTATTTTCAACAAGATAAATAAATTAATAATAGAAATAGAATAAAAATAGAATTTACAATAGAAAAAAAATTAAATTTTTATAAAATTAATATTGTTTTGGAAAAAACATTTTAAATTTAATTAATTTATTTATAAGTAATTAATTTTTCTTTTTATACTTACACTAATTAATTGGACAAAGCACAAAAATAATATTAATTTCATCATACTTCTTTATTATATTTGCGTTTTCTTTCGTTAATATAACTGTAATGGATTAATGTTAGGTAAGAAAATTTATACTAAACTTTTATTTATACAAGTTAAGAAAGAATATTTTAATATTTATTAAAAAAAAAATTACACAATAATTTGTACATAAGTCTGTGGATATAAATTGTTGAATAAATATTAAAATTAAATAAATTGAATAAAATAGAAGAAAATTTTGTAACATAATTCAATGATTATTAAATGATTCAATAATTATTTACATTAGATAATTTTTTTTTCTATAAATAATAAAATATATGTATTATCAAAATTTGTTACATTATTTTTTTTAATATTGTATTTATTAACCTTGACATGTGTATTTTGTCAATTTTAGATTGAAATTGAGAATATTAAATATTTAATAAATATTCATTAAAATTCATTGGAAGAAAAAATTTGATAGAACACGTGTAGATTGTATTATTTATAAAAACAATTAAACTTCTTTTTTTAAAAAGAACAGAGTTGTTCTAGTATTTTCAATATTCGACAAATTATTTAAATATAAAATTATAAAATTTATTATTAAAATATAAAATTATTAAATTTATTATTAAAATATAAAATTATCAAATTTATTATTAAAATATAAAATTTAGATAAGTAAGAATTATTTTGCAAAAGAATTTCGCTATTATTGATATAAGATTTTGGATTTTTGAAAATCTAATATCAAATTCGTGATCAGCGACATCGGAAACCCCCCGAGTGATAAGTTTCAAGCGAATACGGTGAATTTTTCAAAAAGTCCTCCGCCATATTGGATCCGCCATTTTGAATTCATTAGATTCGTAATCAGCGACCTTAAATATAAATAAATAGGTGATATTCGCCTGAAATTTGTTACTCGGGGGTTTTTTGGGTCGCTGATTACGAATTTTACAACAGGACTGCAAAATTCAAAATGGCGGATCCAATATGGCGGACGACTTTTTCAAAAACTCAATGGATTAGCTTGAAACTTGTCACACGGGAGTTTTTTGGGTCGCTGATTACGAATTTTACAACAGATTTGCAAAATTCAAAATGGCGGATCCAATATGGCGGACGACTTTTTCAAAAACTCAATGGATTAGCTTGAAACTTGTCACACGGGGGTTTTTTGGGTCGCTGATTACGAATTTTACAACAGATTTGCAAAATTCAAAATGGCGGATCCAATATAGCGGACGACTTTTTTGAAAAACTCATGATATTCACTTGAAACTTGTCACTCGGGGGTTTTTGGGGTCGCTGACCACGAATTTAATCATAGATTTGCAAAATTCAAAATGGCGGATCCAAAATGGAGGGAAATATTTTTAAAATGAACCCAATTCACATGAAATTTATAATTTGAGAATTTTTTGTCACTGACTGTGAATTCGATGTTAGTTTTTTTTAATAAAATTCAAAATGACAAAAAGCTTTTTAAAATAAGGGTTAATATTGTTTTTTGTAATAAAAGGTGAATTAATGTAAATGTTTTAGTTTGTGAAAATTTTTATTTATTATATTTATGCATAAGACCGTCTATAACCATAACGCATGGCCTTATTTTCCATTATTTTAAATTCTTTAATGATAAAATTTTTAATTTCTTTCACTTTCTCAGATAAATTATTATAAGCTTGTTTTAACGTTAAAGTTAAGTCTGAAACAAGAGTGCTCGATTTTGCTTCATCTTCCGTTTGTGTTCCAACATCTTGAGCAAGTATTACCTTATTAATGAATAAATATAAAAATTAATTTTTATTTTCAGTAAATGAAAAAAATATTTTTAATTTAATTAAAAAAATTTTTTTTTTTAATTTTTAATTTAGTAGAAAAAATATAAATAAAAATGAATAAAAAACTTAGATAATAAATAAGAAAATTAATAATTAATAAATCAGGAGTAAATAAATAATAAAATTATAATTTTTTTTATTTTAATAATAATCACAATATTAATAGTTAACAATTAAAATATGAATAAAAAGTATTATTTTAATTCAAGTCTTTTATTTCGTTATTTTATTATTTATATAACTTTTTGCGTTAGGATAGGAATAAAATTTTTTGCTGAAATAAATTTTACTCACCACTGCAAAAATTAATGTACAAAAAAGTATTAGATATTTCGCCATAATTTTCGTAAATTATAAAACGTTTAATAGCAAGTATAGAATAATTTTTGTTTTTATAAAACAAGTCTATTTGTTAGGTTCCACTAGTCAAATAATTATTTTTTACTACATAAAACACTTGTGTTAATTGAAATTAGAATATTGTTTTTCGTATAATATTAGAGAATTTGTTTCTTCGCAAATTATTCTCATAAATTTGTTTTATAATTATTATTGAAATTATTATTATAAAAAACTTTCCGTTTCATTTAAAAACTTTGATTAATTCAAATATTTTTGTAAGGATATTAAAAAAAATATTTAAATATCTTATTCAGTGAAAATATATTTGTTTATAATACATACTTTTTTATTTCTTTTTTTTACAAAATAATGACAAAAATTAATAAATCTTTTATACAAATAAATACTTAATTTTGATACACAAAATATCACATTTTGACATTTTATTTAAAATACAAAATAAAGAATAAAAAATACAAAAATATATAAGAATAAAAAAAATATGTAAATTTCACTGAATTTAATTTAAGTACAAAATAAAAAATTTAAAATATAAAATAAAAATTGAAAATTGAAAAAGTATAAAAATTGAAATTGTCAACTTTTTTAAATTTTATTCACTAAATAAAAAATATACTTTCGTTTTAAGAATATTAAAAATCGAAAATATAATAAATTTTTTGAAAATGGAAAAAATATTAAAAGCTCTTATTTTTATCTAAATTTAAAAATTGTCTAAAGTTAAAATTTTTTTTTTAATAATTTTTTCTCCTTTTTTTCCTTACCCCGACAAAGAGGATAGCGCAAAAAGTGAACGAAAATTTCGACATGATTTCATACAATTTTCTCTTCAATTTGGAATGTTATAAAGTTTCAGATCATTGCTCTTATTTATATCGAAATTTTTATTATTACTATACATTTCATAATATAATGAAAATGAGAAAAATTTAATCAAATCATTTTTTTTTAAATATTATTAGTCATTCATATTAATTTTTTTTTTATTTACCTTTAATTATTTAATTTTAAAAAAATTTTTAATTAATATTTAATTATTTCTTTTTATTTTTTTATCTTTGAAATAATTTTCGAATAATTTTTAATGTTTTGTGAAAGACCGCTGGGTAGAAAATTTAATTGTATTGTATAACAATATTGTAACTGTAATTTCTTCAAAATTATTTTCATTTCAATTCAATTCTTCATTTTTAGAATTTTTAACTAAAATTATTCTGACATTCTTCAATTAAATATAAATAAGAAAATAAAAATTTGAAAAATTAAAGAAAAATTCAATAAAACTTTAAAAAAAAAATTAATTCTACAGAATTGTTAATCAAAGTTAAAGTTTTCAAAGATTTTAATTAATCTTTTCAAAATTCAATTATTTCTAAAAATTTACGCTATTAACTTTCAATATTCAATGATAAATGTAAAATTTTAACTTAAATTAATTTTTAAATCAATATTTACTGAAAAAAAATCAACGAGGAATTCAATTATTTAAATACAAAAATGAATAATTTATTGTGTAATTGAATATTTCGTAAAATTAAACTCTCAGAAGGAATTTTCTCAAAAAAATTTTAAATATTTGATTTCTCTTGATGAATGTTAATAAAAGTTTTTAAAAATAAGTTCATTTTTCGGAAATTTGATTAAAATTCTAATTAAAAATAATTGAATTTCTCCAAACGAATTTTTTTTTAAGAGTTTTTGAAAATAATTGAAATTTTGCCAAGAATTTTAATAAAATTTTTGAAAATAATATTGAAATTCCGGAGAAAAATTTATCACTAGATTATTGAAATTTTGACGAGAATTTTTGTAAATTATTGAACACAATAATTAAATTTCTGCGAAGAATTATATTTCATTTTTGAAAATAATTAAATTCTTGAGACGAATTTTATTAAAAAAATGTCTTTTTAATTAATTGAATTTTTTTATGAAATTTTATTGAAATAGTAGACATTGAAAATAATTGAATTTTGAAAAATTTTTGAAATTAATTTAAATTTCTACAAAGAATTTTATTAAAATTATTTTGAAAAGAACATTGAATTGTTATAAAAATTTTATTAACATTTTTTGAAAATAATTTAATTTTTTCAGAGAAATTTAATTAAAACTTTATAGAAAATAATATACTTAAATTCTAATAAATTTTATTAACAATTTTTTTTAAATAATTGAATTCTTTTGGAAAATTTTATTAAAGTAGTAGATTTATTAAAAAATCATTGAATTGAGAATAAATAAATAATAATAAATAAGAAAATTAATAATTCAGGAAAATTTTATTTGTTTATAATACATAATTTTTTATTTGTTTTTTTTTCTTACAGAATTTGGATCAGAAAGTCCAAAGAGGATTCTAAATCGCAATTTGTAACAATCAATGGAATTCTCAGGTGAGTTTTCTTTATTTTAAATTTTAACATTTTATTTATTGTTTTTTATAATTATTTCCAATTTATTGAACACAATTTTTTTTTAATTGAAGAATAAATTATTGATTACAAAAATTTTCCCTTTGAAGCGAATATAAAAAAGGAAACAATTTTTCCAAAATGAGAAAAAGAAAAAATAACAAAAAGAATATTAAATAAGAACTAATTAACGATTAATGAACTAATAATTGATAATCAATGATAACCGTTAGTTATTAATTAAGAATAGCAATAATACTAAGAAAAATAATTTCCTAATTGAATTGAGAATTTATTAAATTGAAGTAGGAAAGTAATTTTTTTTTAACAGTCTTTTACCATGGAATGAATTTTTTCATCCAGGATTTTTGAGGTGCTTTTGAATGTTGACTTTTAACTTCGGCTTTAACGCAACTGATAACATTTGTTACAACTTGTTCACTGGTTCCTTTCATATTCTCGATAGTTTTCGATGAGACGCATGCTTGAAGTTCTGGCAAAAATGATTGAACTTGAAAATATAAATCGGTGATATTTAAAACAATACCTGGAACGTTTGTCGCTGTTTCGAAAGTTCCAACTGCAGCCACCTGAAGAAAATGAAACAAAAAAAAATCAGTAAATTATATTAATTTGTTTTTTGAGGCTTTCATCATTCTTTCATTTTTAGTTTTATTCACGATTCTTTCTAAAGTAAATTAGAAAAAAAATTTTCTCTCGGACTTTTGCCTTCCCTTAACGCTATTCTTTACCTCCACTACTAGAATATTTAGAATATTTAGAGTTTTTTCTTTTTTCCCTTTTCTTAATTTTTCCCATTCCTTATCTTTTAAACTCCTTCATTTATTTACATTCTATTTTCTTTAATTAATTTTTTTTTTGCTTTTCTTTTTTTGTTTATACTTTCTTTAACACTCTTTTTACCTCCATTAAAAATCTCACTATTTAAAAATTTTTTTTGGTGTGAATATTTTTTTATTTCCTTCTTCTTTTATTTTTTATACTTCCCTTGACACTCTTTTTACCACCATGATTATTTTTTATGTTTTATCATTTCCTCGTCGTTTAAAATCTATTTTTGTTTCTCTTACTTTACACTCGTTAATATTTCCTTAATATTTTCTTTGCCTCGGTTATAGAACATTTGATTAACTCCCTTAAATTTACATTTTACTCCCTTGTTTGATTTTAATATTTTTGGCTCTTTTATTATTTTTGTCCCATAACACTCTTTTTAGCTCCTTCATTAAACTTTAAATACTATTTTTTCGTTTTTAAATAAATTTTGTATATATTTTTTTAATTTAATTTTTAGTCTTCTCTTAACACTCTAGTTGCCTCCATTAAAAATTCAGATACTTCATTATTCCTCTTCCCTTTAAAATTTTTTCCCTCTCTTTTTCCTAATTTTTATCTTCCCTTAACACACTTTCTACCTCTACTTTCCTTTCACTCCACTTATTTATTTTTATCCCCTCTTCTAGCTTCCATCTTTCCCCCTCCATCTTTTTATTTTTCTCCTCTACTCCTCCACTACGTCTCTTTTAATTTTACTTAAGGGTAGGAAAAAGAAGAAAAAGAAGAAAAAGAAGAAGAAGAAGAAGAAGAAGAGGGAAATTTTTTTCCACTGCTTTCTTTCCTACCCTTTTACCTAAAAGGTGGAGGAGGAAAAAAAGGGGACTTTATTTCTCCACCACCTATTCCTTTGCCTTGTCCCCTTTTGACTCTTTTTTACCCCTTAATATAGGGGACGAAAGAAGTAGGAGAAGAACCTTGTCCCCTTTCTTTTTTTACTTCTTAATGTAGGGGATGAAAGGAGTAGGAGAAGAAGGTCTAATAGAGAACAAAAGAGAAAGTAAAAAGAGACAATATAGAAAAAAGTACTTGGGTTAGAAAAGAGGTGGAAGAGTAAAGAAAGGAGAAAGGAGGAAGAATTCAATAAAAGAGAAGGGAACTTAGTGGCGTGAGACGGGAAATAGTGGAGAAAAAGGATAGAGAAGGAAGGGAGAAAGGATAAAGTGAAGTATTGGTGTAAGAAAAAGGGAATGGAGTAGAAGAACTTTTTCTTTCCTTCCTTCTTTTCACTTAAATGAAATTAGAAGTGACGTAGTAGAGAAGTGGAGGAAATAGAAGTAAGGAAAAGGAGGGGGAAAGGAAGAGAAGGAGGGGGGTAATGAATTGTATAGAAGAAGAGAGAAAATAGAGAAGTGAGGGAGAGAAATAAAATAGTGGCAGTGTTAAATAGCAGTGGTTAAAAGGGAAGAAACACATAAGAGAAAAGGAAGAGAGTAGTAAAGAAGTTTTTCCTTTCCCCTCCCTATCTTTTCTTTTCCTCCACTAAATTTCATCTTAGCTTCTCCTATTCCTCTACCTTTTCATCCTTTTCCCTTTTTTATTTTTATTCCCCCTCCTTCTCTTCTTTTTTTTCTATTCTTCTCCTGCCATTTCCTCCACTTCTCCACTACATACCTTCTAATTTCACTTAAGTGGAGGAAAAGGAAGAAGAGGACAAGGAAGGAATCTACTTCGTCCCTCTTCCTCTCCTTTCTTTTTCTCCACTTGAGTCAAATTAGAAAGAACGTAGTAGAGAAGTGGAGGAAATGGAAAGAGTAGAAGAAGGGGAAAAGGAAGAGAGGAAGGGGTAATGAATTGTATAAAAGGAGAGAGGAAAAAGAGAAGTGGGGGGAGAAAGGAGAAGGGAGGGAGAAAGGATAAAGTGAAGTATTGGAGTAAGAAAAAGGGAATGATGTAAAATAATTATTTCTCTCCTTCCTTCTTTTTACTTAAATGAAATTACAAGTGACGTACTAAAGAAGTGGAGGAAATAGAAGAAAGAAAAAGGAGGGGAAAAGGAAGAGAAGGAGTAGTAATGGATTGTTTAAAAGAAGAGAGGAAAAAAAGAAGTGAGGGAGAGAAATAAAATAGTGGAGTAGTTGTTAAAAGGGAAGAAACTCATAAGAGAAGGAGGAATAGAGTAGTAAAGAAATTTTTCCTTTCCCTTCCCTATCTTTTCTTTTCCTCCACTAAATTTTATCCTAGCTTCTCCTTTTCCTCTCCATCCCTTTCCCTTTATTTATTTTTCTTCCCCATCCTTCTCTTCCTTTTTTTTCTTTTTCTCCTCTCACTTCCTCCACTTCTCCACTACATACCTTCTAATTTCACTTAAGTGGAGGAAAAGGAAGGAGAGGACAAGAAAAATATCTTCGTCCCTCTTCCTCTCCATTCTTTTTCTCCACATGAGTAAAATTAGAAAGGACATAGTGGGTAAGTGGAGGAAATGAAAAGAGAAGAAGAGGGAGCAAAAGCAGGCAGAGGAAAAAGGGAATTAATGGAGAAAAAAAAAGGGAAGGAGGAGGAAGAAATCAAATGGAAGTGAGGGAAAGAGGGAAGTACGTAATGTGGGAAGAAAGGTAGTGGAGTAGTGAAGAAAATGGAAGAGTTCAGAAAAGGAAGGGAGAAAGCAGACAGAAGAGAGAGAGGAAAAGAGGGAATTAGTGGAGAAAAAGGAATGGGAAGGAGAGGGACGAAATTAAATAGAAGAGTAAGTGGAGTGTGAAATAAAATACTGGAGTAATGGAAAGAAGGTAATTTGAGGGGTAGAGAAAGAAAGGTTGTAGTGGATAGCTAGGAAAATAAGAGGTGGGAGTAGGGTGGAGGAGTATGAGGAGTAAGAAGAGAGGTAATGTAAATTTAATAGAAGAAGGGGAAAAAGAAGGAGATTATGTTATGTGAAAAGGAAAGAGGTAGAAGTAGGGAAGGAAACGGAAAGAGAAAGTGGGGGCGAAGGGAATCATATGTAGCAAGAAGAGGGGATAAAGTGGAATTTAGGGGTGGAGTAAGAACGGATGTACTGGATATAAAGGGAAAAGAGAGTAGGAATGGACGGGAGTAAAATCTGTGAGAGAGGAAATAATAGGGTAGTGGGGAAAAAAGAGATGGAGGAGGAAGTAATTGAGAAGTGGGGAAAAGAAAAAATATGGAGAGGGAAGTAATTAAGTAGCAGGGAAAAGAAAAGAGATGGAGGAGGAAGTAATTGAGTAGTGGGGAAAAGAAAAGAGATGGAGGAGAAAGTAATTAAGTAGTTGGGAAAAAAAGAGATGGAGGAGGAAGTAATTAAGTAAAGGGGAAAGGAAAAGAGATGGAGGGAAAGTAATTGAATAGTGGGGAAAAGAAAAGAGATGGAGGAGGAAGTAATTAAGTAGTTGGGAAAAAAAGAGATGGAGGAGGAAGTAATTAAGTAAAGGGGAAAGGAAAAGAGATGGAGGAGGAAGTAATTAAGTAATGGGGAAAGGAAATGAGATGGAGGGAAAGTAATTGAGTAGTGGGTAAAGAAAAGACATGGAGAAGGAAGTAATTAAGTAGTTGGGAAAAAAAGAGATGGAGAAGGAAGTAATTAAGTAAAGGGGAAAGGAAAAGAGATGGAGGGAAAGTAATTGAGTAGTGGGTAAAGAAAAGACATGGAGAAGGAAGTAATTAAGTAGTTGGGAAAAAAAGAGATGGAGAAGGAAGTAATTAAGTAATGGGGAAAGGAAAAGAGATGGAGGGAAAGTAATTGAATAGTGGGGAAAAGAAAAGAGATGGAGGAGGAAGTAATTAAGTAGTTGGGAAAAAAAGAGATGGAGGAGGAAGTAATTAAGTAAAGGGGAAAGGAAAAGAGATGGAGGAGGAAGTAATTAAGTAATGGGGAAAGGAAAAGAGATGGAGGGAAAGTAATTGAGATATGGGAAAGAAAAGAGATGGAGGAGGAAGTAATTAAGTAGTTGGGAAAAAAAGAGATGGAGAAGGAAGTAATTAAGTAAAGGGGAAAGGAAAAGAGATGGAGGAGGAAGTAATTAAGTAATGGGGAAAGGAAAAGAGATGGAGGGGAAGTAATTGAGATATCGGGAAAAGAAAAGAGATGGAGGAGGAAGTAATTAAGTAGTTGGGGAATGGAAAAGAGATGGAGGGGAAGTAATTGAGTAGTAGGGAAAAGAAAAGAGATGGAGGGGATGTATTTGAGTAGTGGGAAAAAGAAAAGAGATGGAATAGAGATGGAGGAGAAGTAAGTAGTGGGAAAAAGAAAATAGATGGAGGCGTGAGTAGTGAGAGAAAAGAAAATAAATGGAGGGGGAAGTAAAACGAAAAAAAAACGAAAATGGTTGTAGACTAAAGAAATTTTCACAATTGAAAAACTAACCTTAGTGACGCAATATGATGCGTATGGGATTGATCGCCAGTTATTTATATCTTTCACACATACTTCAACATCACTTTTGACATCAATCAAAGTTTTCAAGGACTTTTCTGCCTGGTGATATAAATCCTTCCAAGTATCAATTGCCTTCTTAATTCTACTTTCAACACAATTATTCGCATCAACGAGAGTTTCGCTCACAATTGGTTTTAAAGATTTTGCCATATTCCGGCATTCCTCTACATCTGTACCCGTTGCATCCTGTATTGCCTTATCAATTCTCGCCATTACCTAAATTAAAATTAGAAGAAAAATTTAATTAATAAAATTTTTTTGTTCAACAGAGTATAAAGAAGAAAATAATTGTTTCAGATAAATAAATAAATAAAAGTATTTTTAAATAAATTAAGAAATAAAAAATTTATAAGTTATAAAAAATATAGACAAACAAATAAAAATAATAGGTAATAATAAATTATTTGTTTAAATAGAAAGAAAATACTTTGTAAAACGCAAAAAAAAGTTTAATTTGAAAATAATTATTAAAAATATCACTAACTTGATTTTCGGTAGAGGCAACATTCTTGTAAGCAACAGAACGTAAATCAATTGCTTCTTCTTGTAATTTGGAAATTAATTTCTTAATTTTTCCTGAATATTCATTTAAATTTTGTTTAAGAATAGAATGTGCTTTTTCTGCTGCCTCTACAACCTCATTTTTCATTTTCATTATTGTACCAGCATCTTCGGCGCCGTAAACACTTGTCTAAATTAAACAAAATAAAATTATTTCACACATTTTTTATGTAAATAACGATAAAAATTATATTCATGATTTTTCAATAATAAATATCTATCCTTTTTTTCAAATAAATTTATAGAATTACAATTTACTTAAAAATTACTAAACAAAAAAATTTAAACTTTTAAATTTGTATTTGAAGAAAAAAATAAATTAGAAAAGTAATGACAATAAGAAATTAAATAATTAAAATTTATTTAAAATAATTAAAATTTATTTAAAATAAAAATAAATTTAATTTAATTTTAATTTAATTTATTATTAAAAATAAATAAATAATGAAATATAAATAAAATATGAAGAAAATTATTAATAATGAAAAGAATTAATAAATATTTTAAACAAATAAATACATAATTTTGATACAGAAAAAGTATAAAATAAAAAATGTAAAATTAAAGAAGTATAAGAAATCGAAAATGTGAACTTTATTAAAGTTTATGTACAAAATAAAAAAAAAACTTTTGTTTTAAAAATTTTAAAAATCCAAAATATAATAATAAATTATTTTGAAAATTGAAAAAATATTGAAAACTTTATTCTTATCTAAATTCAATATTCGTCTAATGTTAAAAATTTTTATTTTAAAATAAATTTTTCTTTTTTTTTACTTACCCCGACGAAGAGGATAGCGCAAAAAACGAACAAAAATTTCGACATGATTTCATACAATTCTCTCTTCAATTTGAAATGTTATGAAGTTTCAGATCATTGCTCTCTTTTATATCGAAATTTTCATTATTTCAAAATATATTAAAAAATTAGAAAAATATTTGTCAACTATATACGGTAGTTTTCATTGTTATCATTTTTTTTCGAATTCATAAGGAAATATAAACAATACGTTTGACGTCTATTATAATAATATATTCATTTCACTATTTGATTATATTAATGAAAATTTTTTTAGACTCGCCCAATACTTCCTCTATTTAATCAAATTATCTTTTTCGACAATATTTATTAGTCTTTCAATTTAATTTTTTTTTTTATTTATTTCCTTTTAATTGTTTAATTTTTAAAAAAATTTTCAATTAATATTTAATTATTTCCTCTCATTTTGTTTTTGAAATGCTTTTCGAATAATTTATAATAATTTTAAAATTCTTAATAACAATAATAATATTAATAATGATATCGTCTCTACTGTCTTTGTTGAAAAAAAATTAAACTATTTTATTCTCCTGATTTTTGTTTCATCATTTTTCAATAAAAGAATTAATTATATATTTAATAAAATTTTATTCAAACTTTTTTAGTTTTCATCAACTACAGATTATATATTGATTAGCTTACTTTTATAAAAAATAAGTATTATAATTTAATTTAAAAATTTTTCTTAATGCACTCGCGAACTTGTTGAACGACAGTTTTCGATGCGGCGTTGAATGTTTTCATCTCACTGACTGCTGAGCATAATGACATTTCTGCTACTAGTGTTGACACTCTAAAGGAGAGTTTTCCCAAATTTATCCAAAAGGCAGGAACATTTTTAGTAGTTGTCAATGTTCCCTTGAAAGCAGCCTGATAAAAAATTTTCGAAAAGCATTAATAATTAATAATTTATTTATCAATAAATAATTAATGAACTAATTGTTTTAAAGTAATTTAAGAAATAATTCCTTAGAAACTATTTTTGTTTATAAGAAAATCATAAATTAAATATTTTTTTATAAGGAAACAATTAATTAACTATTTGTTTATAAAGAAACAATTAATTAACTATTTGTTTACAAGCAAACAATTAATTAACTATTTATTTATAGGGAAAAAATTAATTAACCTCTTTGCTTATAAAAAAACAATTAATTAACTATTTGTTTATAAAAAAATGATTAACTATTTGTTTATAAGGAAACAATTAATTAACTATTTGTTTACAAGCAAACAATTAATTAACTATTTATTTATAGGGAAACAATTAAATAACCTATTTGTTTATAAGGAAACAATTAATTAACTATTTGTTTATAATGAAACAATTAATTAACTATTTGTTTATAAGGAAACAATTAATTAACTATTTATTTATAGGGAAACAATTAATTAACTATTTGTTTATAAGGAAACAACTAATTAACTATTTGTTTATAAAAAAAATGATCAACTATTTGTTTATAAGGAAACAACTAATTAACTATTTGTTTATACGGAAACAATTAATTAACTATTTGTTGGTAAGGAAACAATTAATTAATTATTATTTGTTTATAAATTAATATGTTGACTAAATTATAAATGTTTTGTTATAAGTAAATAATTAATAAACTGTTAGTTTATGGAGAATAAACAAATTTACAGTAATTGAAGACAATAGAATGATAAAGTTTTCAAATAATTTAAGAGATGGGGGAGATTTCTACTTACTTTATTTACACAATATAATGCACTGACACTTGATCGCACGTCATTGATATTTTGAACGCATTCTACGGCCTCATCTTTAACGTCCGTCAAATTTTTAACAATAACCTCAATGCTCTGTCTCATTTTTTGCCTGTAGCTATTTGCACTCGCTACTACATTGTCGATACATTGTTTTACCTCCTCCCGTGCATTGGTGGCAGTCTGGTCAAAAGAATCGACTATTTGCTCGCATTCGGTCACATTTCCTCCGATTACCCCCTTTAATGCCTCAATAACTTCGGTTCTTACCTTTAAGAAAATTGAGGAAAAAATATCAGAGGAGATAAATTAGAAAAATATTTTATGCACACTACACTGAAATAATTGTTTTCAATTATTGAAAATTGAGGAGTGAAGAAGTGTCTTAAGAGAGGCAAATAGAGAGAGGATCAAAGGAAGAGAAAATAGAAAAACAAATTTACGAAGAAGTAAGAAAAAAAGAATTGAAAATTGAGGAAGGGAAGAAAAAATTAATGGAGTTATAGAAATGGGTCAGGAGAGAGATGAGAGACTATGATAATAAGAGAAAAGACAAAAAAATTATCAGAGATAGAAAATGGATAAATTTGGCTGCAGAATTTTAGGAATGAAGAAAGGAAGTTTGTTAATTGGGTTGAAAGGGAAGACAGAAAAGTAAAGAAATGGATAATAACAAGGAAGAAATTGAGGAAGAAGAGTGTTTATTAATGGAGGTTAAAAAGAAGATGAGAAGGAAAGAAATAGATCAACAAAAATAGACTAAATTGGTATAGAGGTAAATGGAGTATAGAATAAAGCTGATGGAGTAAAGAAGAAGGTTAACGGACTGATAAAAAGGATACAAATGGAGTAAAGAAGAAGAGCAATGTCGTAAAGATAAAAAATATAAATCTACTAAGGAAGAAGGTTAGTGGAGAACACAAGAAAGTTAATGGAGTAAAGGAGAAGGTTAATGGCGTAAAAGAGAAAAATGCAAGTGGACTAAATAAAAAGGTCAATAGAGTACAGAAAAAGGTTGATGGAGTGAAGAAAAAGATTCAGGAAATAAAGAAATTTTATAGTCTACAGAAAAAAGGTTAAAGGAATAAAGAAGATTAATAAAATGAGAAAGAAGATATGCTTAAAGAAACAGGGAATAATAATAAATTCAGATGGAGTAAAGAAGAAAGTTAATGGAGTAAAGAAATAAAACATACAAAGGGACAAAAGAAGAAGGTTAATGGAGTAAAAGGAAGGTTGAAAGAATAAAGGAAAAGTTTTGGAGGAGTAAAGAAAAATATTAATGGAGTAAAGAAGAAGATTGAGAGATACAGGTAGGAAGGTAAATTTGGACAAATTTTTGTGGACTAAAGAAGTAATAAATAGAGTGAAGAAGAAGGTTGAGAGAACAAAGCGAAAATTTTTGAGGGTTAAAGGAAAAAGGTAATGGAGAAGAGAAGAAGGTTAATGAAGTAGAGAAGATTGTTAAGGTTAATGGAGTAGAGAAGATTGTTGATGGAGTAAAGAAGTAGGTTCGTGGAGCAAAGAAGAAAGTTTATAGAGTAAAAAAAGTTATTAAAGTAATAAAAAAAGGTAGTGGAAGTTAGTGGAAAAGTTAGTAAAAATACAAATAAACTAAAAAGATGGTTAATGGAGTAAAGAAGAAGGTAGAGGAAAGGAAGATTTACTCACATTTTGTTGTGCATCAGTAATTCTATAAAAAACAGATTGGGTCATACTCAATGCCTGATCATTGAGTTTTATAATTGCATTTGCCGTTGTGTCCAGAACGTCATAAGCATAAGTCGTCACCTGGTTAATTGATAATTCAACAATTGCCACTACTTCATTCCTCACTGTACCGACAATACCTAGTTTGACATTTTCCTCCTCATGATTTTCTTTCTGTTCAGCGTACACTGCCTAAAATTAAAAATAATAAACAATTTAATAATTATAATAATAAGTAGATTAATTAATAACTAAAAGCGTAAATAAATGAGTAAAAAATGCGTCAATAACTAGATTTAACTGAATGATTAATTATTAATTAATTTTTAGTTAATTTTTAGTTAATTTTTAATTAAACTTTTTTATTCTTACCCCAGTCAAAAGGAAGGCACAAAGAAGAAGTACAATTTTCGACATTTTTCAAAAATTATTTCGGAGAAATACTATTATTGTACTCCTATTGCAGTTATATTTACAGTATTATTGAAGTTATGATAAAAAATCAAAATTTGCTCTGGCTTTTATAGCGAAAAATCAATTTCACCATAGAATACGTAAAAATTGTCAACATACAAGATTTAATTATATTCCATTGATTACGTTATACAAGAAACACTTGTGTCAATTTTAATCGTCACGTTTCTCTTCATTTCATTATAGACGCATGAAGGGTCAATTATTACGTTTTCATAGTGATCACAAATTATTCACGATCACATTAATTATTCATGATACAGTGTAATGAGAAGAAAAGGAAGTGAATCTGTATCTTTAAGAAATGTTTGCTCTGGCTTTTAATTTATAGTGAATATTTAATTAAGAAACAAATCACGTCACAATAGATGAGAAAAAAGTCTGGTATTTCTTCGGAGAGGAAAAATTCCACTCTCATCTTATCAACTAATTTCTAGAATTAAGTTTCAAAATTATTTATTTTTGTTTACACGGTTAATTATTACTAATAAAATTCATTATCGATTAGTTAATGACCATTGGACCATTTTCTCGTCCTGAGTAATTAAATTTCTTCACTAAAATATTATTTAAAATAATTAAAAATTTTAAGAAGTGAATTTATCAATCCAGCCCAAGGAAGTTGGCTGTATTTCTATTAGGAACTAAGGATTTTGAAGGAGCATAAAAATGCAATTAACTCTTAATTGAAATTCGAAAGGTGAATAATTTTTGAGTTTTTAATACTCGGACAAAATTGCATTTGAAATTTGTCTATTATCACAAATCTCTGTACATAGCATTCTAGCATCCCTACATTCATTATCATAAAGTGGATGACAGTAAACTAAAATACGTGTAAATAAATGTCATAATTGTTGTGTCATCATCTATACTGTTCCTTCTGCCAATGCACGATATCATTCTCCATCGTCTTGAATATGATCTAATGCAAAACATGTGCTATGAAATGTTTCATGTTCAACCACATCTGTGATTGGAAGATGGTAAAAGATTGTAGCATCCTCTACTGCCATTATCATCAATAAAAGATGACAGTTCTATTTCTGTTGAGTTGACAGAAACGGCGATATGTTGCTTTACCATTTTCATCAATTGTAGTTTCTGAAAAACATTGTCTTGGATTTTTCCAATACCTATCTTTTTCGTTCCACATGGAACGTGAATCATTTTTTTTCTTAACAATATCATGAAGTTTGGGATTAGTTGTTGGATTTAAAATTTTGTTTAGAAACAAGTAGATATGCAAATTAGGTAAAGTAATTTTGTTTTGGAAAGAGAAAGAAAAATTAATGGTTAAAATTGAAGAGAGATAGTTTTATGTCAGTTTTATTGGAAGACGAAGTAAAGAACAGTAAGATTTTCAGATGAAGATATTCTTATGGCAGTTGTAATTGTGTAGAAAAAGATAAACAATGTTAAACGAAGAAGTTCTTATGTTATTTCTTCCTTGATAGAAGGAGAAAAGACTATAGCGTTAAATCGTTAGTTACATTCCGAAAGTATTGCCTGAGTGGTAATCGTGGTAATTTTCAATTAAAAAATTAATTTCCTTAGGTATTTAAAATTTCTTTATTTAGACCTTTATACTTTTTTTCAACTACAGTTTACAATTATTCATTAACTTAATTTTATAATAAATTATCATTTACAATTTTTTCTTAATACACTCGCGAACTTGTTGAACGACAGTTTGCGATCCGGCGTTGACTTTTTTAACTCCATTCACAGTCGAGCAAAATGATAGTTCCGGTCCTAGTGTTGATACCCTGAATGCTAGTCTTCCAAAATTTGCCCAAAATTTGGGAACGTTTGTCGTCGTTGCGAGCGTTCCTTTCACAGCAGTCTGCAAAATTGGATGAAAAAAAAAGAACATTGATATTAATTTTGCTTCGAAGGGAGGGGAATTTTTAGTTTCTTTTAGAAAAGGTAAATGCGTTTACTGACCTTCTGGATACAAACTAAGGCTCTGGTGCTCGAACGTACGGTGCTGATATCTTGAACACAGTCAATGGCCTCGTCTTTAATGACCGTCAAATTTTGCACAATTACCTCAATACTGTGTCTCATTTTTTGACTGTAGCCATTAGCACTCTCTAGTACCTTATCCATACATTGTGATACCTCGGCCTGTGCTGCGGTGGCAGTCTGGTCAAAAGTATCGACTATTTGCTCGCATTCGGTTACATTTTGTCCAATCACTTCCTTTAGGGCTTCATTAACCTCGGCTCTTATCTGTGGAAATTAAAAAAAATATTAGAAAAGGATGCGATGAATATAATTTCGAACTTTGGCGTTTGGCGCCATCGACATTATGTTCATTGATCCATGTATCGAACACAAAGGATTATTAGAAAATTAAGACATGAAAGGTGGTAGAAGAGATTAAAGAAAGTTTGAAAATTAATGAAAGTTTTTACTCACATTTTGTTGTGCCTCGGCGATTCTGTAAACAACAGTTTTCGTAATATTTAATGCCTCATCGTTAAGTGTTTTAATTGCATCTAATGTTGTTTCCATAACATCATGACCGTAATTCTTGATTTGATAAATTGCTAAATCAACAACTCCAACGACTTCATTTTTTATTGTACCGACAATACCTGCATTGACATTTTTCTCTTCTTCATCTTTTTCTTCTGCGTACACTGCCTGAAATTGATAATTAATCAGAATAATTAAATTATAGGAGCCTACATAAGTTAAAGTTTGGAGTTATGGTCATCAACCAGGAGGAAGCGGACAGATGGTGGAAATTAAGATGCATGAAGATGTTCTAATGGGAAATTCTAGGATGTTCGCCAGTTGTAGGAGCAAGATCCGCGACTTGAATTGCCTTACCCAAGAATATTATAACCATTTAGGAAAAGGTTGGAAAGAGGAAGCCAAGAAGTCTTTCGCTAGTACCAAAAAACAAATAGATTATGGAAAAGTTCCTTAAGCAAGAGCCTAGGGTTTTTGTTTTGGAATCGGAGTCCATCCAAAGACGATAGTAGTTTTTAGTGGGCCGACCAGAAGAATTAATTTGTTTTTGAATCAGTTTTTTATTCTTACCCCAGTCAAGAGAATGGCACAGAGAAGAAACACGAATTTCGACATATTTTCGATAGACAAAAGTGTTATTGAAGTAATAATGAAAAATCAAGGATTGTTCGGCCTTTTATATCGAAAAATAATTACAGCATAGAAAAGGAATGCTAATGATACTATTGGTTTCGCGACACTCATCACCTGTGTCAATTAATATTAAAGCATCATCGCATTCTTCTCTTGTCTTTACGCCTAGAGGGTCAATTATTAAAAGTTAAATTCAAATCCGTGGATTTTAATCATGACACGTCGTAGTGTAAAAAGAGGAAGAGAATATACGTCATTAATTGATTTATTGTGAATTTTTAATGAACTTGGAATCACGTCACAGTTTTAACGGCATCATACATTCCTACCAGAAAATATCTCATCGGATTGAAAAAATAATTTGGTCGTAATTATAATTCATTTGAATTAATTAATAGTGAATCGTCTGTCGATTAACGTCCACAATTAAAAATCATGGATATTCATCAAGTCACCGAATGAACTTCGCGTCTTCTTTGTGTCAGTCCAGCAATCGTCACCAAGTTAACTAGTTGTGTACTCTGTCATCGAGTTTGTTCTTCGACTCCAGTCTAGAAAATCTCTTCAAGTACCAAGTGCATTCTTCAAGTCTTAGTCAAGTTCATTCAAGGAGATAATTTCTACTGCGAGGCACATTTCTATTTTTCTAAGGACTACATTACTTTGACATCGGCGTCAAATTAATAATTCGGTCACTCCTAAGCCGAGAGGTGTTTTATCTAATTTACATCGACACCTGGACTCCGGATCTTTCAGTTTGGCTGTCCCGAAAATAATTTAAGGAAAATCTACTGCATTCTGTTTCCGCTAGTCAAAGTCCCTCGATCTCACACTGAACAAGGTCTCCAATTTAAATTCTCGATTGATTCCACAAAGTTTTAATTTTCAGTGCGCCTAAAGACATCTGGATCTACTCTTTCTCTCTTATTCTAATTGTAAAGGATTCAAATAAAAACTTTAACTTTAATTTTCAATTTAACAGTTACTCTTTCTTAAAACCTGTCCCTTAATATCAGAGCAAAATTAAAAATGAAAATAAATGTTGCGTGAAGGAAAAATTTAAGAACTTGGTGATTATTTGAAAAGTAACTTATAATTATTTCTATTTACTTAATTATTAATTTACAATTTTACTCTACGTCGTTTACAATTAATTTTTGAACTCGGATAGTTGTCATAAATCGGATTCATTCAACTTTTTGTGATTCAGCAAGTTCCTTTCTGGCTTTAATGCATTCGCGGACTTTCTCGACGACAATTTGCGATCCATCGTTAACTTTCTTAACGCCATTGACTGTCGAGCAGACTGTTAATTCCGGTAATAATGTCGTTATTTTCCACGTTAGTTTTCCCAAGTCTCCCAATAATGCAGGAACATTTTTCGTTGCTGCCCACGTTCCTTTAGCGGCAGCCTAAGAGAAAAAAAGAACTCATCATTAAGAATGTAAATTTTAATAAGAAAAAAAAAGTACTTCTTTTTTGGGGATACCCTTTTTTGGGCTTGAAAATAAAAAGACTAAACAAGGAGATGAAAATTAACTGACCACATTGACACAAATAAATGCCTTGGTTGCTGATCCGATATTATTGACATTTTCCACACATTTCTCTGCCTCGTCTTTAATGACAGTTAAATTTCTCATAACAACATCGGCGCTGTGTTTCATATTTTCCGTGTAACCATCGGCGTCCTCCATTACATCAGTGACGCAACGTGAAACTTCCGCCATTGCCTGAACGCCAGTGTCGTCAAATGCCTTTGCCATCTCTGCGCATTCTGTTACATTGTAATTAATTGCCTCCTTTATTGCCTTATCAACTTCGGATTTGACCTGTAATGGAAAAAATACTACTTTGTGCAAAAATACAAATATTTCCTTAAGCCATCCTGACATTAATTTTGGTATTCTGCTGTAAGCCACTGAATTCCAGGGCTAAGTATTTTTGTCAGAAACAATTGGAGGCTTGGGCTTAATAAATTGTTCCCTGGCGTCTGTTTTGGCTAGTTCATCCACTATATTTTTACTAATAAATCCACTAGCAACTAACTTAGTAGATGATGCATATTAAATACTAATATAATTTCAGCACATGATAAACAATATTTAATGGATGCTGCTGATTATCATGTAGCACTGAATTCAACTGACGATCAAGAATATTTAGTGGATGTTGTCGGTTGTTATCCAGCATCTATTTTCGTAGATGATAAATATTAACTGCTAAGAGATGATTTCAACAGATGATAAACAATATTTAGTGGATGCTTATCATCTATCATTGAATTCAACAGAAGATAAACAATATTTTTGTGGATGTTGTTGGTTAATATCTAGCACCCATTTTAGTAGATGATAAGTACTAAATAATAATATGATTACAACTGATGATAAACAATATTTCGTGGATGCTGCTTATCATCTAACACCCATTGCAGTAGATGATAAATACTAAACGATAAAAGTAGATGAATAAATATTAAAGAATTTCAGAAGATGATAAACAATATTTAGTGGATGCTGCTGCTTATCACTTAGCACTGAATGCAACAGAAGATGCAACAATGCAACAATATTTTGTGGATGTTGTTGGTTAATATCTGGCACCCATTGTAGTAGATGATAAATATTAACTACTAAGAGATGATTTTAACAGATGATAAACAATATTTAGTGAATGCTGCTTAGCACCAAATTCAACAGAAGGTAAACAATAATTTGTGGATGTTGTTCGTTATGTTGTTATGTTGTTAGTTACCCATTGTAGTAAATGGTAAATATTAACTACTAAAAATAATTCCAATAGATGATAAACAATACTTAGTGAATGCTGCTGCTAATTATCATCCAAAATTAAATGCAGAAATAATATTTACTGAATGATGTTACTACTTTTTGTATAGCATTCACTTCAGAAGATGATCTAAACAACATTCATTAGCAGATGAACAGTTCTTAGGAAATGTTACTCTCTCGTGTCTAGTACACAACTTAGTAAATTCTGAGCCGTTTGTTGTAGTTAAATAATTAATAATTAATAAAAAAAAATTACTCTGTTAAATAATTAAATTATTTTAAATTAAATTTAAATACATAAACAGAATTAATTGAAATTTCAATTAATTCAATATAAATTTTTAATTACAATTGAAATGTAATGAGAAATAATAAATTTTATACTAACTTTTTGTTGTGCCTCAACAATTTTATCGTAAACAGATTTTGTCACTTTCATCGCTTCCTCTTTAAGTTTTTTAATAATTTCTGCCGTCTTTTCCTGCACTTCATGAAGATAATCAGTGACTTGGCGAATTGCTTCATTAACAACTCCCACAACTTTGTTTTTAATTTCCTCAACTACACTTGGATTCTCCTCATGGTTTTCCGTTTGGGGTCCTGTATTTTCAGCGATAACAGCCTAAAGAAAAATTAAAAATAATAATAATAATAATAATAATAATAATAAAAGAAAAATAATAATAAACATATTGAAACCAATTAAAAAAAATTATAATAATTAAAATATAAACAATTAAATAATAGACATTAAAAAAACGAAACGAAAACCGAAAAAAATGATTATTAGAAGAATAATAATGGTACTAAAATGAAAATAATAATTAAAATAATAAAAAAAATAAAGTAAATAAATAAATAAATAATAATTTATTAATAATAATGAATTAAAAATTATTTTTAATTGAAAAAAAGTAAATTTCTCACCCCCGCCAAAAGAAAGGCACAAACAAGAATTAAAGGTTTAAACATTTTTTTTAATAAATCTTGCAAAAATTAAAAGAATAAATTTTTTTCTGAAATAATATTGAGCGAATCAAAATTTTTTTCCAGCTTTTTATATCTGATTCTTCATTTAAATAATATTTAAAAAAGAAATTAACACATTTCTGTTTTCATTTTAATATATAAAACCACTTGTGTCAATTGAAATTATCATTCTTCTTTCATAAAAACAAGTTTTTTTTTCGTACAGGGAAATATACATTATTGTATAATAAATGGGTTTTATATTACTTATTATGTTAAATGTAATATTAATAATTTAAATAATAATAATAATAATAATAATAATAATAATAACAAATATTATTATTATCAAAATAATAATAATAATAATAATTAATAATAAGAATACTAATGATAATTTATTTACATTCATTAATTTACTTCATTCTAATTTAACTTCTACAGACAAAAGAGATCTTTTTTACATGTGCGCGAAACAAGAAATAAAAAAATTCCACTAAAAATAAACAAATAATAAATATCAAGAATGAAAGTCAGAACAGAAAAAAAATCTGGTTTTTTTTATTTAACCTCATTTTTACTTAATAATTACTTAATTTTTTAAAAATAACTTTATTAAATGTATTAACTAATTGTAGATACAAGAATTGAACAATTGTTTAAAGAATTCATTTTTACTATTCAGAATTATTAAACAACTGGACTGACAAATAAATAATTCAATTGAATTTTTAATTTGTTAATTACCTAAGTAATTGTTTAATAATTATTTTCAAAAATGGTAATTAATTGTTAATTAATTAATTAAAAAAAAATTAATTTCTAATTATTTGTTAATTAACATCTAAATATTTATTAATTAATTTCTAATTGTTTATAAATAAATAGATAATTACTTGCGTTACTTAATAGCAAATTATTTATAAATAAATAGCTAATTATTTGTTAAATAATCGCTAATTGTTCATAAATATATAGTTAATTATTTCATTATTAATTGTTAACTGTTTGTTAATTAATTGCTAATTATTTTACAACAAATTTATAATTATTTGTACATTAATAGCTAATTGTTTATAAATAAATTGTTAATTATTTGATTAATTAACAATTTAATTTGTTAATTAGTTGATAATTGTTTGATTAATTAACAATTTAATTTGTTAATTAGTTGATAATTGTTTGATTAATTAACAATTTAATTTGTTAATTAGTTGATAATTGTTTGCTATTTGATTGATAATTATTTGTTAATTAATTGCTAACTATTTCTCAATTAATCTCCAATTATTTGTTAATTAATCGCTAATTGTTTATAAATAAGTAGCTAATTATTTGTTAATTACTCTCTAATGATTTATTAATTAATCGTTAATTGTTTATAAAGATTGTTTATAAAGAAATAGTTAATTGCTTATAAATAAATAGCTAATTATTTGTTAATTAGCCGCTAATTGTTTATAAATAAAGACCTAATTATTTGTTAATTAGCCGCTAATTGTTTTAAAATAAATAGTTAATTGTAACTAATTGCTAACTCAGTGTTATTTAATGATCAATTAATTGTTTATTAAAACAACAATTATTCGGCAATTTTTTATTAAATAATTAATTGCGAGCTAATTATTCATTTATTCATTTATTTATTTATTTATTCATGTAATAATGTACATTGTTATAAATTATCAATTTTGTTTTGATTTTTAATTAAATTTGATTAAATAATTATATTTTATAATTTTCATTTAATTTTTTTTTATTCTTTTATCAATAAATAATTATTTTACAAATTATTTCATAAATTTATATACATATAATTATTTTAGCTTTCCTCTGATGCACTCGCGAATTTTATTACCAATAATTTGCGAATCCGAAATGGCTTTTTCAACTCTATCTGAAATCTTGCATTCTGCTAGGTCTGTCATTGAAGTCGCTACTTTCCACATTAATTCACCTAAATCAACCAAAAAGGCTGGAAGTTTTTTTGTTGCTGTCCAAGTTTTCTTAAGAGATGCCTGAAGAAATGAGAAAAAGAAAAAAAATTTACTTCATTTTAATGACGATTATATTTTGTAATAAGAAAAAAAATTTTTAATAGCAACATGTTAAAAATTATTATTATTTTTATTATTGATTACTCAATATTTTGCAACTGTTGCTTCAGTAACCGTTGCTATGGTAACAATTAATATAGCAACGGTTGCTATGGTAACAATTAATATAACAACGGTTGCCATGGTAACAATTAATATAACAACGGTTGCCATGGTAACAATTACCATAGCAACGGTTGCCATGGTAACAATTGCCATAGCAACGGTTGCTATGGTGCAACAGTTGTCATGGTAACAATTACCATAGCAACGGTTGCCATGACGAAAATGAATAATTTTTCTTTTCTTTTTGAGAGGGGGGAAAGAGGGGGGGGATTCACTAACCTTTCTAGCACACCATAAGGCTTTTGCACCTGAGAAAAAGCCATTAATATTGCTTGCACACTTCTCAACTTTCTCGTTAATGCGGAGTAAATATTCTTGGATACCATCAGAACTTTCTTTAACTTCCAATAAATATTTGTCAGTATCATTGACAACTTCACTGGTGCATTGGGATATTTCGAGTTTTGCCTGTTCAATGCTTTCATTAAATGCTGCACTGTGCTTCACGCATTCCGATACGTCTCCATAGTTTTCATCATTTTTTGCCAAGTCAAATTCCGCATTCAACTGGAAAAAGAAGAGAAAATTTTTTTAAGTTCATATAAAAATTCAAAAGTTAGTTGTCATGGAAACCAAAAATCATAGCAACGGTTGCTATGGTAACTATTATCATGGCAACGGTTGTTATGGAAACAAAAACCCTAGCAACGGTTGCTGTGGAGACAATTACCATAGCAACGGTTGCCATGGTAACAATTACCATAGCAACTGTTTCCATAGCAACCGTTGCTATGATAATCGTTACCAAAGAAACCATTGCTATTGTTTTTGTTTCCATAGCAACCGTTGCTATGGTTAATGTTACCATAGCAACGGTTACTATGGAAACAGTTGCTATGATATTTGTTTCTATAGCAACGGTTGCCATGGTAACAATTACCATAGCAACGGTTGCTATGGTAACAATTATCATAGCAACAGTTACTATGGAAGCAATTACCATAGCAACGGTTGCTATGGAAATAGTTGCTATAGTAACAATAACCATAGCAACGGTTGCTATAGAAACAAAAACCATAGCAACGGTTGCTATGGAAACAGTTAATAGAAATGGAAAAAACAAGAAAAAGAAAAAGAAATATTAAAGAGGAAAAAATAATTTTTTGTTATTAATAGAAGCGCCAATTAATTAATGAATGTGAAAAGAAAAATATTTTTAATTTACCGTTTGTTGCACTTTAGTTAAGTCATCGGCAAATAAATTTGCAATTTTCGTCGCCTCGTCTTGGACACTTTCTGTTGATTTTGACATTACAGTTTCAACTACTTCAAAATAATCGTTAATTTTTTTAATTGCTACACTGACTTTTCCCACAACTGTATTTGCAAGGTTCTCAGTTATACTTCGTTTAAACACATATTTCTCAATATCTTCGTCCGTGATTTGTGAATATACAGTCTGTAATTAATTAACAATAAAATTAATAAAAACTCGAGAAAATAAAAATTTTTTTTTCTTTTTTACTTATTAACAAAGTTAAATTAAATTACATATTAATTACTATTACATAATTAATTATATTTAATTAATTAATTAACTATATTAATTTGAATGTTCTTTCATTTTTTCATTCATTCACTTTTTCTGTCCCTCACACTCTGAAGTTGTCGCGGAACGTGATATTCAATTTATTATTGTTATGCAAATAACAAATATTTTTAATCTTCAAATATAAATTTTTAAAATAATTTTATAATCAAAATTTAAAAAATTCACTTATTAAGTAAAAAATTAATTATTACTGTTCATATTTTCTAAAATTTTAATAAATCCTTCGAAAAAATTCAACTAATTTTTAATCAAATTTAAATAAAATTACATGAAAGAATTTAATTATATTCAAAAAATTTCATAAAATGCAATTTCAACAAGAATTTAAAATTCTTTAAAAATAACTCAATTATTCTCAAAATATTTTTAAAAAATTCTATATAAAAATTAAATTACTTTCAATGCAATTTTTAAATATATTCGTCAAAAAAAATTGAAAGAATTCAATTATTTTCAAAATATTAATAAAATTCTTGTGATGAATTCAATGATTTTAAATATACCTACATAATTTTAATAAAATTCTTTAAAGAAATTCCATTATTTTCGAAACAACTTTAATTGAATTTCTCGAAAAAATTTCATTATTTTAAAATATTTCTATAAAATTCTTCATATAACAATTTAATTATTTCTTAAAATTTTTAAAAATTCTCGCGAAACCTTTTGTATTATTTTTTCTAAATAGTAAAATCTTTCTATAAACAATATTCAATTATTTTTTTTCAACAGTAAAATCTTTACAAAAATCCAATGATTTTTAAAACAATTTTAATATTGAATTCCTCGGATGAATTCAAATATTTTTTAATATTTCCATAAATTTCAATTATGTCCAAAAATTTTAATAAATTCATTGAAACAATTTTTATAAATATTAATAAAAATTCTCCGCAAGAATTCAATTATTTTCAATCCACTTTTAATAAAATTCTTCTTCATAAAATTCAAATGCTTTTAAAATTTTCAATTAAAATTATTATTAAAGAAACTCCATTAGTTTTAAAAAAAAATTCAAAGAAATTCTTCAAAAAAATTTAATTAGGATTTTAAAAAATTTTAATAAAATTCTTTGTGAGAATTCAGTTATTTTCCTAAATAATAAAATTCTTTGACAGAATTCTATTATCATCAAATTTTTTGATAAAATTCTTTGCAACAATTCGATGATTTTCAATATATATTAATTTTAAAATTGAAAATATTTGAAAAGAAAAATTATAAAAAAGTTAATATTAATGTAATTTAATTTTGCATTATTTTTGTTTATGAATCACAATTTTTTTAACAAAATTATTATTTTGTTTTAGAAAAAGAAGAAAAATATTTGCAAAATTCCTATTCTTTTAATCTTACTTTTGGAACTTCATCAAAATTATTTTCATCATTTTAATTTAATTATTATTTTCTAGAATTTTAAATTATTTTTTATGAAAATAATTGAATTCCTTAAAAAAATATTTATTATTTATAAAAATAATAATTGAATTTCTGTGAAATAATTTTTATTATTTATGAAAATAATGAAATGTTTTGTATACAATTTTATTAAATTTTTTTTTAAATAATTGAATTTTTTTGGGAAATTTTGTAATATTAGTAGATATTGAAAATCATTGAAATTAGAATTGTTGCTAGTAATTAATTATATTTAATTATAAATTATTTAATTTATTAAATTTAATTTAATTTGTTAATTAATGTTACATAATTAATTATTATTAATTGTAAACGTATCATTAGAAATTAATTAATTTTACCAATTAATTAAATTTTTCTTACCCCAGCCAAGAGAAAGGTACAAAACAAAATAACTAATTTAGACATTATTTAATTATCTTTTGGAAATTTCTTATATTAAATAAATTGAAATACAAAGTGTAAATAATTAAAATTTTCTTTTTGCTTTTATACCAAAAAAAAAATTGTTTGTATAAATAAATCATAATAGTACAAGCCATTGACGTAGATTTTTCCATTTTCTACACCATACACTTGTGTAAATTTAAAATTATCTATTTGTTTAAAACGAATTCCTGTTAACGTTAAAAGACGTCAAAGATGTATTTTTAATAATTATGATTTACATTTTCTAACTACGTATTTGTTTGTAAATATTTTAATTTGATAACAAAACCAGAAGTTAGTAAATGCGTTATAAAATTCCTTACAACATTTGAAAAAAATAACGTTAATGCAAAAGTTTTTAACAAACTAATTGTTAATAAAATAAATAATTGTTAATTAACTAATTTTTAAATTAATTAATTTGTGATTAATTGCTAATTAAAAAATTTTTAATTAGTTAGTTATTAGTTAATTAATTGTTAATTAATTAATTATTAGTTGATTAACAGTTAATTATTTAAATAATTAATAAATTATTTAAATAATTAATTAGTTAATTATTAGATAATTAATTAGTTACTTAATTGTTTATTACTTAATTAATTGTTAACTAATAACTATTAATTATTTAAGTGCTCTTTAATTTGTTAACAAATAAATTTTTAATTTGTTGCAAAATCATTAATGTTTAACTAACTATTTGTTAATTTTTAGCAAAATAATTAATTGTTAACTAATTAATTTTTAACTATGTGGAAATCTATCAATTGATAAATATTTATTAATTAATTATTATTATTGTTATTTATTTGCTAACAAACTGTTAACTTAGTAATTGTTATTTAATTGCTATTTTTTATTTAATTAATTGTTAATTGTGAATTAATTACAAATTAATTAATTTTTAATTAATTACAAATTAATTAATTTTTAATTAATTACTAATTAATTAATTCTTAATTAATTAATTTTTAATTAATTATTAAGTAATTTATTGCTAATTAACTAACTATTAATTAATTGTTAATTCATTAAAACACAATTAATTAATTTTTAATTCATTTCTATTTTTGTTTATTTATAATTTAAATTTATTAAAGGAATTCAATTTTTGTTTCTATAAATTAATCGACGTAATGATGTAATTTTTTTTTTTATTTGCAAATTAATTTTTTTTACGTGAAACATTTTACAATTTTATATTATACAACTAAATTCCGTCATATGAAAATAATTATATTAAAAAAAGAAATAACAATTTTTTTATTAACACTTGTGTCAATTGAAATTATCTTCTTCTTTTTGGGGAATTTAAATTTTTATATACGCGGAATTGCATGGAAAATATATGTTTCTTTGTCAAATTCATTAACATAATTTACACACTTCAATTTCCTTAATTATTAATTTTTTCTTCTATCTAAACAAAAAAAAAAAATTGTGGTTTAAATTTAACTTATAAACGTCAATTTACTTTGTCGTATTTTTTTCTTTAAAGGAAAGAGCAAGGAGAACAGAAAATTGTTATTCTAGAAATAAAAATTAAATTTTTTTTGTTTATTAATAATAAATATTATTAATTAATTAATTACAATTTAGTTGTAATATTTTTATCTCGATTTTTATTTGACAAATAACATTTGTTTAATTAACACTCAATTAACATTTTGTTTTTTATTATTTACTTTTAGTTAAAATTTTTGTCAAATTAATTATTTTAGTTTACATTTTATTTTCTTAATTGATTTTCAGCAAATATTTGTTAATTAACATTTAGTCAATAGTTGTTAATTAACAAATTTTAATTTTTATCAAGTAAATGTAATAAAAGAAATTAAAATAAATATGGAAATTAATTATTAGTGAACATTTGTTAATTAACAAATAAATCTTTAACTAATTGTTACAAAAAGATAATTAAAAAAAGTAATATTTGTTTATAGAAATTTTTTAATAACATTTATTTAACTATTTATTTATCCTATATAAACATTTACTAAACATTTGTAAATTAATATTTATTGACCCCTGTTTATTTATTTATTTTTTTTTTTGTAGTCGGAAGTATTAATTAACAACTTAATTATTTGTAAATTAATAATAAAAACAAATTTAACAAATTAAAAATTTGTAAATTAGTTAATAAATTGTTAGTTAATTTGTAATTAATCAATTATTAATTAGCTAATTTTAATTAAAAATGACATTGTTAATTTTGTAATAAAATTTTGTAAATAATTATAGTTAATAATTAATTAACTAAGTAGCTAATAATTAATTAGTTAATTAATAATAATTAACTAATTAGCTTATAACTTATTAACTAATTAGCTAATAATTAATTAGTTAATTGGCTAATAATTAATTAACTAATTGGCTAATAATTAATTAACTAATTGGCTAATAATTAATTAACTAATTGGCTAATAATTAATTAACTAATTGGCTAATAATTAATTACCTAATTGGCTAATAATTAATTAACTAATTAGCTAATAATTAATAAAACTAATGTTAATTAACAATGTTAATTGTTGTAATTAATGAAAAAAAAAATAGTTTAACATTGGTATTTCTTTACAGCATGGAAAATGGTAAATGGAAAAATTCTGAGTGAATTAATTTGAACAAATACGTAATTAATATTAACAATAGTTTATTTATTTACAATAAATAAGAGTTACATAAGATTAGATTTTTGAAATTTTTGTTTATAATTAATTGATAAATAATTAGATTTATTAAAAATTGAATTTTGTATATAAATAATTAATTAATTAATCTTTTTTAAATAAGTTTACTTTTAATATTTACATGAATTTCTATTTTCTATTTATTCTGTTCGTTGATACAGTTTTGCATATCCTTAACAATTTGACTATTTTCAAAGTCAATTAATTCTTGAGTCCTACATTCTGGTAATTTACTAGAAATTTCATAAATTACATCGTCTATGTGGATAATTTTTAAATGTCCTTTGTTTAGTTTACTCAACAAGAAATCCATTGACTTCTTACGAACCTTAAAAAGGTAGAAAAAATATTTTTAAATTATATTTTTAAACAAATAAAAAATTAAAAAAAAAAAAAAAAAAAAAAAAATTAATTTATAATTTAATATTATAAATATAATATTAAAAAAAAATTTTATTATTTTCAATTTTATTTCTTTTTATATATAAAAATACTCTAATTAATAATATTTTAATGAATTAATTTAATAAACAAATATAAATTTACTGATTTTTATTAAAAATAATATTTTTATAAATAAACAAATATATAAAATAAATAAAAATAGCAAATAATTCTTTAATATAAAAATAATTGTAAAGAAAAATAATTATTTTTTACTTACATCATCAATGCAAGCTAATTGTTCGTCATATTTACAGCCTGGATGTTTAGTGCAATCTTCAGCTTTAGTTTTAAATTCATTATATTCTGTTAACAGAGCTCTTGCTTGTACTGTCACATTTTGAATGTATTCCTCAACTTCATTGAGTTTTGATAATAAACAAGAACGTGTGTTTTCCATTATTGGCCAACTCGTGGTTTCAAACGCAACTAATTCATTGAAACATTCAGTTTTATTTGTTATAATATTCTTCAATCCCAGTTTTAGTTCTTCATTCGACTGTTTAGAAATAAAAGAAAAAATTATAATTAAAGAAAACATTCTATTTTTTCAACTAAAATGAACTTGGAGAAAAAATAGAATTAGATTCAAATATTGAAATTAGAAATAAAATTAAAAATTGAATTAGAAATGAAATTAGAATCAAAAATTATTTTTCATATTTTTGGATCAGAATTAGAAATAGGAATAAGAGTAAGAATTATTTTATTTACTTTAATTTAAATTAAAACTAAAATAACAACTAGAATTGAATTTATAGTTAGAATTAAAATAAGAAATTAGAATAAGATTTCGAACTGGAATTTCATGTAGAATTAGAAAAGGAATTAGAATTAGAATAAAATTTTGAACTAGAATTTGATGTAGATTTAGAAAAAGAATTAGAATTAGATTTCGAACTAGAATTAGAATTCAAAATAGAATAAAAATTGAATTTCAAATTAGAATCAGATTTGAAATTAAAATTAATGTTAATTAATACTAATTTGAATTGAATTTAGAATTAGAATTAGAATTAGAATTACAATTACAATTAAAATATAAATAATTAGAAGAAGAATCAGATTTGGAATAAAAATTAATGTTAATTATTACTAATTTGAATAAGATTTAGAATTAGAATAAAAATTAAAATTGGATTTAGCATTAGAATTATAATTAAAATTAGAAAATGAATTAAAATTTGAATTAGATTTTGTATTAGAATTAGAAATATAATTATTCCTCAAATTTATTAGAAGTAAAATTAGAATTAGAATTAGAATTAGAATAAGATTTGGAATTAGAAGTAGTGTTAATTATTAATAATTTTAATTAGGTTTAGAATTTGAATTGGAATTAGAATTAAAATTCGATGTCGAATTAGAATTAGAATTAGAATTAGAATAAGATTTGGAATTAGAAGTAGTGTTAATTATTAATAATTTTAATTAGGTTTAGAATTCGAATTGGAATTAGAATTAAAATTCGATTTCGAATTAGAATTAGATTTAAAATTAGAAACAAAATTTGATTTCGAATTTGAATCAGATTTGGAATTAGAATTAATGTTAATTATCAATAATTTAAATTGGATTTAGAATTAAAATTAGAATTAGAATTAGAATAATTACAAATAGAATTACAATTAAAATGAAAATCAGATTTAGAATTAGAATTAGAATTTAAATTTGATTTTGAATTAGAAAATGGCTTAAAATTTAGAATTAGATTTTGAATTAGAATTGAAAATAAAATTATTCCTCAAATTTATTAGAAGTGGAGTTACAATTAGAACTAGAATCAGATTTGGAATTAGAATTTTAGTGTTAATTATTACTAATTTTAATTCGATTTATTTATTTATTTATTCATTTAGAATTAGAATTAGAATAAAATTTTGAACTAGAATTTGATGTAGAATTAGAAAAAGAATTAGAATTGGAATCAGAATTAGAAACAAAATTGGATTTCGAATTAGAATTAAATTTTGAATTAGAATAAATGTTAATTACTACTAATTTAAATTAAATTTAGAATTAGAATTAGGATTAGAATCAGATTTGGAATTAGAATTAGTGTTAATTATTACTAATTATATGGATTTAGAATTAGAATTAGAATTAGAATAAAATTTCGAACTAGAATTTGATGTAGATTTAAAAAAAGAATTAGAATTAGATTTCGAACTAGAATTATAATTAGAAACAATATTGAATTTCGAATTAGAATCAGATTTGGAATTAGAATGAATGTTAATTACTGCTAATTTGAATTGAATTTAGAATTAGAATTAGAATAAAAATTAGAATTGGATTTAGCATTAGAATTAGAATTAGAATTAGAATTAGAATTAGAATAAGAATTAGAATTAGAATTAGAATTAGAATTAGAATTAGAATTAGAATTAGAATTAGAATTAGAATTAGAATTAGAATTAGACTTAGAATTAGAATTAGAATTAGAATTAGAATTAGAATTAGAATTAGAATTAGAATTAGAAATATAATTATTCCTTAAATTTATTATTACATTTAAAATAAAAATCAGATTTATAATTAGAATTAGAATTAGAATTTAAATTTGATTTAGAATTAGAAAATGACTTAACATTTAGAATTAGATTTCTAATTAGAATTGGATTTTAAATTAGAATTTGAATTAGAATTAGAATTAGAATAAAAGCTTCTAATTGAATTTTAAATTTTGTTTTTTTTCAATTAAAAAAAAATATGTCAATTTGAATAAAAAAATTCTAACAATAAAATTAAACGTACCTTTTGATCATTAGAAAAATAAATATCATACATTGAATTCCTCATACTTTCCACTTTCACTCTAATATCAGCCTGAGCTTTAGCGGTATTTCTCGGTATATGATTAATTTCATCGTTAATACCTTTTTTATAGCAATCAACAAATGTTATTAACTGATTTTTGGCATCTTTTACTTCGTCTTCGGTTGTATTTTGTTGACTGCTGACACTATTAACCTTAAAAAACAGAAATTAATAAATAAATTTATTCAATAAATTCATGCAATAAAAATTCATGTTTAATAAATAATTAAATATTAATTTGTTAAATAATTAAATTAATACAAATTGTTTAAGAAATGAATATATAAATTGATAAATAATTAAATATTTATTAAATTAATAATAGTTGTTAAATAACTATAAATAAATTGTTAAATAAATGAATAAAAATTGAGTATTAATTAAATAGTTATTTTAAAATTTATTTTTAGTTATTTTAAAATTTTTTTTATAAATTTATTTTTAAATTTAATTTGTAAAAATAAAAATTTTTCTTATACTTACAGCCAAGAAAAAAATGGGTAATACAAAGTAGAAAAACTTCATTTTTCTTTCTTTTTTTTCTTCTCTTAATTTCTTACTGTTTCACTATTGATGGAGACAATTTTTGAAACTGATGGAAAATCATTTTTTTTCCTCAACTTATATATTCGAAACTGACATTGTTGGAATCAATTGAAATCCATTGGTAAATAAAAATGCACCATACACGAATTTATGATCTAATTTAGGGTCCTACCTTTGTTTAAACTTGATATAATTTAGAGATAGATTTTAATATTTATTTCATTATTTTATTATTCTCAAATATTATAATTTAGGTCAAGTGATGAGAATTTCGATTTTTCTCTTTTATCAATTTGGAGAAAATCAAAAAATTTTCTACTTCACTGCAATAAAAAAAAAATAAATCATTTCTTTATTTTTTAAATGGAAAATTGTTATTTTTTTTTAATAAAATATTTTATTAACAAAAATTATTTAAAAAATTTTTGTTTATAAAATTATTAAAAAATTCATAAGTTTAGGAAAAAAGAGTGAAAACGGTTAAATTCTTTTTTTATATTTAAATCCTAATGTTAAGTAAATAATTAAATAATGGTTAAAAATTATTTAATTTAAAAAATATATAAACAAAACAGAAAATAATAATAAAAATGTTAACAATAGATCAATTAAATTATTATTAATCATTAATTAACATTATTAAAAATTAATTTTACTAATATTAATTAATATTAATTTATTTATAAAATTTGAAATTGTTATAAAATTAAACAGTAATTTTTATAGAACTAAAAATAGATTGTTAAGTAAATAAATTAATACAAATTGTTAAATAAATAAATTAATTACAAAATTGATAAATAATTAAATAACAATTGTTTAAATAAATAAATAAATAAAAATGTTTATTTATAAAATTTGAAATTGTTAAAAAATTAAATAGTAATTTTTAACTAAAAATAAAATGTTACAATAATTAAATTAATACCAATTGTTAAATAAATGAATTAATACAATTTGTCAAATATATAAATATAATAATTAATATTAATTTATTTATAAACAATAATTACAATTATGTTATAATAATGACTCATAATTATAATATTTATTATTTTAATATTAATTATTTTATTAATTAACATTTATTAACAATTACGAAACATTTATCTTACTTACAATTAGTTAGTATTTATTATTAATAAAAATGTTATGAAAATTAAAAAAAACTAAAAAACAAACAATAATTAATAATTCAATGAATTATTATAATTAATTATTAAATAAATAATAAATTATAGATTAAAATGAAAAAATTTTAAAAATTAACTAAAATGCATATCGGGACATCTATCCGATTATTAACTGAGTCCGGCTTTTGCTTAACTTAAAAAATAATTTCATTGACAAAAAATATAAATTTTTTTTTTTTTTTTTTTTTTTTTATTTACAATAAATAAAACAGTTTACATATATATTTAAACTAAAAAAAATCTTTATATAACAAACTATTTTTTTCTACATAATCTGCTTTTTTTCTTCTTCAATGCATTTTAGAATTTTCATTAATTCATTTGGATAATTATTCTTGAAGATTTGATAATTTTTAATTGCTTGGCAATTGAATAGATTTTTTCGAAATTTTTCATAATTTTTCTTCATATTTTTTCTCTCCTTTGGTAAATTAATAGCATTTTTGTTTCTCGATCTTCGTAAAGATTTTAATGACTGCAAAAAAAAAAAAAAAATATATCGGAAATTCATTAAATGAAAATTAAGTTTTGAAACAATTAGAAAAAAAAAATTATTATATTTATTTAATTTAAAAATTAATTTTTTTTCTAATTGAACAAAGTAAATTATTTTTTTATAATGCAATAAATTAAATCTATGAATAAATAAATACCTGCATAAAAAAATATATATAAAATAAATTTAATAAATAAATAATTCTTCACATTTAAATAAATTAAATAAACGATTATTTTTAATAAATAAATTAAAATAATTAAAATTTGTTTTGTCAAATTAATTGTTTATTTGTTAATTTATTTATATACTTTAATTATTATTTATTATAAATAAATTTAATGAGTAAATATATTTAGTAAATTAATCATTATTTCTGCTAAACAAATCAAACAAATTTTTATTAACAAAAAATTAACTAAATAAATAAACTATTATTAACAAAAAAAATAAATAAAGAAAATAAAACTAACATTTTTTTAAATAAAAATTTATAATTCGTTTGTAAATAATTTTTAAAAAAGTTACTATTAAACTATTGCAATAGAAAAGTATATTTTTTTAAAATTAATGTTTAATATAAATAAATAAAAGTTATAGTTACTTTTTTACTGCAATAATAAGCTTTGATGGCCTCTTTTTTTGTTCTTGTTTGTTTAACACAATCTTTCGAGTCATTCTTCAATATTGACATATTTTTGAAAAACTCGTTAAAATTTGTTTTCATTTTTTCAAGATTAATATTAAAATTTTCAACCCCTCTTGTAAAACAGTTAGTAATGTCCAAAAGAATATTTATACTCTCTTGATGTACCTCTTGTGCTATTTGAAAGCATTTTGTCAAATTAAGATAAATATTTTCCTTCAAATTTTTGTGCAATTCATTATTAACCTGTTTCAATTAAAAATATTAGAAAATTTTTATTGTAATTATCAATAAAATAATATTAATAATGTATATAAATAAATACACGAAAAAAATTGTTTTACAAAAAAATTGTTTTTACTAAATGAAGAAAAAAAATAAACAAATAAATTTTTGTTATTAACAACAATTGTTTAAACAATTTTACATACAACCAACCAACATAATTTTACATTGACAACTTTTACAAATATTTTCCACAAATTAATAAAAATGAAAAAAATTTTTTTTTTAAATGACAATTATCTTATTTGTTTAAACAATTACATTTAAATAAATTTAAAAAAAGGATTTTACATTTGAATAATAAAATCAGATAATCGAATAATTGTAAACTTGTTAAGTTATTTTTACTAAAATTATTGACTTTACTTTTGTTATTAACAATAATTGTTTAAACAATTTTATAAACAAATATGTTTTACACACAAAATAATTTTTCATAGAAAACTCGAGAAAAATTTTAGGAATAATTTCCACAATTTAATAGGAATTGAAAATTTTTTTTAAATTAACAATTTTTGTATTTGTTTATACAATTATAATTATTATTAAACAAATTAAAAAAATTAATTTACTTTTGAATAATTAAATCTATTATTCGAATAATTGCCAATTTATTAAGTTAGTTTCACTTGGAATAATTCTTTCCAATTTTAGGGTCTAAATAAAATTTATTAGATATCATTTATTTATAACAATTTTATAAACAAATAAATTTAATAAAAAAAATTCCACATCTACTAACTAATGATCTATACAAAATCTTTAGAATTTTATCCTTGGAATCAACTAAAAATGAAATTTTTCAAAAAATTTAATTATGTAAATTTTTTTTAAACAATTATTTTTGTTAAACAAAGTAAAAAATAAAAATTTACGAGAATTTTTTTATTTTTCTTTAAGAATCCAGAAAGTTTATTTTACTTCAAACATCTGTACTTTAAATTGAAGTAAATGTTAAAAACTTATTTGTTTATAACAATTTAATAAACAAATGGATTTTATAAACAAACTTTTACGTTTAGTAAGAAAAGAACTGTATATAATTGTGAGAAATATTTTTAGTAAAATCGAATAAATCGAAATTAATAACAAATTGGTTAATTCTGTAGAATTGTTTAAACAATTATTATTGTTAAATACAATGAAAAATTAAATTATATAAGACTTATTTTTTTTGTCTTAAAAACTCAGTAAATATATTTCATTTAATACTTAATAAGTTAATTAATAAATTAATTAATAGATAAATTAATAAACAAATTGATTTATTAAATAAATAAATAAATGATTAAATCAGATAATTATTGATAGAATTCTATTTTCTCTAAGAATAAACTAAAAACAAGAATTTTAAAAAATGAAGTTTATTTTCTTCCTTTACTTTTGTTATTAACAATAATTGTTTAAACAATTTTATAAACAAATCATTTCTACCAAAAAATAATTTTCCATAGAATTTTTTTTTCATAGAATTTTTCACAAAGAAATCAGATTTAAAAAATTTTTAATAATGAAATTTTTGTAAAAATTTGTTTAAACAATTATTGTTTAACAAATTGAAAAACAGGATTTTGCTTTTTAATAATGAAATGCGTTAATCGAATAATTGCAAATTAATTAATTCAGTTTAGAATAATTGTGTACAATTTTAGGGTCAAAATAAAAATTATTAGTTAATATTTGTTTATAACAATTTTATAAACAAATAGATTTAGTAAAAAAACTTTCACATCTGGTTAATAATGATTTATTCAAAATATTTAGATTTTTTCCATAGAATCAGTTGAAGTTGAAGTTCTTAAAAAATTTTTAATTTCATCAAATTTGTTTAAACAATTATTATTGTTAGATAAATTAATAAATATACATTTACGAGAAGTTTTTTATTTTTATTTTGCATTAACTATTCAGTAAGTTTATTTTACTTGAAATACGTCTATTTTAAATTGAAATATTTGACAAAACCTTCAATTGTTTATAACAATTTAATAAACAAATTAATTTTATTAGCAAATTTTTACGTACATTTAATCGAACAGTACAAAAGTGTGAAAAATTTGTTTTGTAGAATCGAGTAAAATCGAAATTAATAACAAGTTGGTTAATTCTGTAAAATTGTTTAAACAATTATTATTGTTAAACAAAATAAAAAATTATGAGAGTTATTTTATTTTCATTGTGCATTAAAAATTAAGTAAATATACTTATTTCACTTGTTACATAATAAATTAATTAATAAATGAATTAATGAATAAATTAATAAATAAATTAATAAATAAATTGATAAATAAATTGTTAAATAAATAAATCAATCAATCAATAAATAAATTAACAAACATTATTGAATATTAAATTAATTAATTACCTTTTTTCGATTGTCAATTATTTCTTGGTGAATAGATGAGACAACATTTCGAAATTCGTCTTTTAATTTTCTTATATCTTCAAAATGTTCTTTCGAATATATTTTTATTTTTTCTTCAAATTCCTCACTATAATTTTTAGTTTCGTCTTGAAATTCATTTTCTACATTCTCGATTTTATCCAATTTTCTTTCATAATATCCTTTACTTTCGATAATATTAATTACCTATTAAAATTTATTTCCTTCTCCTTATTATATCGACAAACTTATCGAAAAATAAATTTTATAACATTTATACAATTTAATGTTTAATTAAAACGTTTTTATTGTTAATTAATTATTGATTAAGAAGAATGATTAATTATTGATAATGAATGACAATAATAATAATTTTACTATAATTTAAACAATTTAATAGTTAATTAAAATTTTTTATTATTTATATTGTTATAAATAATTATTAATTAAGGATTATTAATAATTATTATTTATTATTGATAATGAATATATTTTGAAAATAATTTTTAACTAATAAATAATTTTGCTAACTGTTAATTAATTAATTGTTGAAGGTGTTTCAATTGTTTATTTAACAAAAATATTTAAATTGTTTATAAAACAAAAAATAATACCACTGTTTATTAATGAAAAAAATATATTTTAACTCCTAATTAATTATTAAACAAAACTATTTAAATTCTTACGTTGTTAAAAAAAATGTTTAAATTGTTAATTAATTAGTTTATAAAATTGATAAATTATTAACAACAAATTTGTCAATTTGTTATTAATTGCTTAATTAATCAAATTAACAAGATAATAAATTATTAATTATTGAATTAAATATTCTGCTAAATTCTAATTTGTTAATTTGTCAGTTATTGAGAATTAAAATTTAACGATTATTAAAAATTGAAATTATTATTATTATATTTAAAAAAATTTTATTTATATGTAAAATTAAAATAATTTATTTCATTATTGTAAATTTTTAAATAATTGTTCACTTATTTGTTTACTCACTGCGATTATATTATAAAATAAAAACCAAATATTCGAATAAAGCATTTTTTTATCATCAAGATTCTCTTGCAATGAATACTAATTAATAACTAAATGAGATTTTTTATTTTTTATTTTTCTTCCTTTTTTTTTGTTTATCTATTGTGAAAAGAAATTGGAGCAACGAAATAGCTGAAATAGTCAAATAAACGCTAAATGATTTACAGCATTTTGATTCCATCATTAAGTTGAATATTTTAGGAAAATAAATTTCTTTTCTCTATTATTAAATTTCAAGAGAAATGCAGACACGATTTAAACTTAAAAAAATCATAAATTTATCGAAAAAAAGCAAAAAGATTTTTATTTTTTAATTTTTCTTTAAAAATGTTTCATAAAAAATGTTTAAACAATTTGTAAACAAAATTAAAAATTTTCAAAAAATACCAATTTTTATTGATTCTACGGGGAAAATTATGAAAATTTTGTACAGTTCATTTTTTTACAAAGCTTGAAAATTTGTTTATAAAATTCATTTGTTTATTAAATTGTTATAAACAATTAAAGGTTTTGTCAGTTATTTCAATTTAAAACTAGACGTATTTCAAGTAAAATAAACTTACTGGATTCTTAAAGCAAAATAAATAAAAAATTCTCGTAAATGTTCATTTATTAATTTATCTAACAATAATAATTGTTTAAACAAATTTTACCAAAGTAAACATTTTTTAAAAACTTCAACTTAAACTGATTCTACGGAAAAAATTCTGAATATTTTGTATAGATGATTATTTACCGGATGTGAAAGTTTTTGTACTAAATTCATTTGTTTATAAAATTGTTGTAAACAAATATTAACTAATAATTTTTCATTTTGAACCTGAAATTGTAAATAATTATTCCAAACTAAATTAATAAGTTTGCAATTATTCGATTAACGCATTTCATTATTAAAAAGCGAAATCCTTTTTTTTAATTTGTTAAACAATAATTGTTTAAACAAATTAAAAAAAAAATTTCATTATTAAAAATTTTTTAAATCTGATTTCTTTGTGAGAATTATTTCTAAAAACATTCTATGAAAAATTATTTTTTGGTTGAAATGATTTGTTTATAAAATTGTTTAAACAATTATTGTTAATAACAAAAGTAAAGGAAGAAAATAAACTTCATTTTTTAAAATTCTTGTTTTTAGTTTATTCTTAGAGAAAATAGAATTCTATCAATAATTATCTGATTTAATCATTTATTTATTTATTTAATAAATCAATTTGTTTATTAATTTATCTCTTAATTTATTTATTAATTAACTTATTAAGTATTAAATGAAATATATTTACTGAGCTTTTAAGGCAGAATAAAAATAAAATAACTGATAATTTTTTATTTTCAATTTTGTTTAACAATAATAATTGTTTAAACAATTTTACAGAATTACCCAATTTTAATATTTTTAATTTTATTCGATTTTACAAAAAATATTTCTTACAATTAGGTACAGTTCTTTTCTTACTAAACGTAAAAGTTTGTTTATAAAATTCATTTATTTATTAAATTGTTATAAACAAATAAGTTTTTAACTCCAATTTGAATTACCAATTTTCTCCAATTTTCTCCAATTTGAAGTAAAGGTGTTCGAAGTAAAATAAAATTTCTGCATTCTTAAAGAAAAATAAAAATATTCTCGTAAATTTTTATTTTTCAATTTGTTTAACAAAAATAATTGTTTAAAAAAATTTACCTAATTAAATTTTTTTTAAATTTCATTTTTAGTTGATTCCAAAGATAAAATCCTGAAGATTTTGTACAGATAATTAGTTAGTAGATGTGGAATTTTTTTTATTAAATTTATTTGTTTATAAAATTGTTATAAATAAATGATATATAATAAATTTTATTTAGACCCTAAAATTGTAAAGAATTATTCCAAGTGAAACTAACTTATTTTTGCAATTATTCGATTAATAGATTTAATTATTCAAAAGTAAATTAATTTTTTTTAATTTGTTTAATAATAATTATAATTGTTTAAACAAATACAAAAATTGTTAATTTAAAAAAATTTTTCAATTTCGATTAAATTGTGGGAATTATTCCTAAAATTTTTCTCGAGTTTTCTATGAAAAATTATTTTGTGTGTAAAACATATTTGTTGATAAAATTGTTTAAACAATTATTGTTAATAACAAAAGTAAAGAAGGTAAAAAATTTTTTTTTCAAAGTTTATAGTTTATTCTTTGAAAAAATAGAGTGATTTATTATTTAATGATTTATTTATTTATTTATCAATTTCTTTATTTAACTATTCATTTGTTTATTTATTTATTTATTTACATATTTATATAAACATTCCAATGAGACAAAAATGGGTAAAAATAAATAATTGTGGAATTTAATAAAGAAATAATAAAATTGTTTAATAAGAAATGAATAATTTATTTATAATAAATTTTTAATAATTAAATGAACTTTTTGAAATTTGTAAAAATGAATAAAAAGTGACTAAAAAAGTATAAAAAAAAGAAAAGTAAATTCAATGATATTAATGATTTTCAAAGCGAATCAAAATGAAGAAAATACTTCAATGAAAGACGGGTTGCTGTACTATTAGGGTTAATAAATAAAACGATATTTTTTTCCTAATCAAAAATTTAATAAACACACCCTCGTTACAAATTACTTTTGAAAGAAATAAAAAATAGTGACATAATTAATATAAATATTTTAAATTATTTATTAATTTTCACTTTTTTTACAGAAAAATTTATTACCAACTAACTAATTAGAAACATTTTCTACATTCTCACAACAAGGAAAGGAACCATCTCTTATTGCTTTTTTTCGATAGGAATATCAATAGATTTGCTACAATTAGAAAATTTTCCAATTAAAGATGAAAAATATTGATCTTCAAAACAATCATTACACTTCTGAAATTTTTCAATTATATACGAACTTTGAAGTGTTTTTTTATTAGTACCAAGAGACAAATTTTGAAAGTCAAATAATTTCAATTTCGTCAAATTCCTTGATATCTGAAAAGAGTAAAAAAATATTATTTATTTAAATAATATCAATATAGATGATCGAAAATAAATAATTAAGTAATTTTATTAATTCATTTCATTAATTAGTAACTGAAGTTGTCAATTTTTTTAAATAAAAATATTTTAATATAAACATACTAATTAATTTATAAATATTTACTCACTATTTAGTAATTAGTTAGTAAGCAAGTGATAATTAGTTAATAACTAATTAATATTATATATTTACTAAGTTAATAACTAATTATAGTTATTAGTTAATAAATAAGAAGTAAATAATTATCAATTAGCTAATAATTAAGTATTAATTAGTTAATAATTAGTTAATAATTAGTTAGTAATTAGTTAATAATTAGTTAGTAATTAGTTAATAATTAGTTAGTAATTAGTTAATAATTAGTTAGTAATTAGTTAATAATTAAGTAGCAACTAATTAGTAATTAGTTAGTAATTAAGTTGCAACTAATAAGTAATTAGTTAATAATTAAGTTGCAACTAATTAGTAATTAGTTAATAATTAAGTAGTAACGGATTACTTACTAGTTATTTAAACAATTCAATTTGCTTATTTAATCAGTTATATCACAAATAATAACTAATGATAATTGAACTAATAATTTTTTAAATTAATTGACAAACTAGTTATTTCTTAATTATTCAACAAATGAATTACTTATTAAGTTAAAAAAATAAAATTTAAAAGTATAATTAATTCTATTAAACAAACCTTTTCGATGCATTGAATTTCTTCTGATTTTAGTGTTTGATTAATGTTATTTTCAACACAATTTTCTGTCTCTTTTTTCATTAGTGTTACATTTTGTTTAAAAAGAAGAAATTTTTCTTTCAATTTATTCACTTCTATTGTAAAGTTGGAGGTAATATTAAATAAACAAGTGCGACAATTTTCTGATTTATTGAAACTGTCTTTAGAAGTTTTAATTTTTATTTTGTAACATTCCGACCTGTCAGTATTGGCAATTAGAAAATTGGATCTTAAGATTTCTTTTAGTTCATCATTGATCTGTTAAATTGAAAAAAAAATTGAACAATTGTTATTAATTTTTTTAAGTAATTTCAAATTTTGTTTCGATTACTATTAGGATTATTATATATGAATATAAATAATTAATTATTTAAATAATTTAAAAATAATAAATAATTTAAAGAACCATTTATTTATAGTTTTTAATTAATACTTTATTACATATAATAATTAGCTTTTTATTTGAAGAAAAAAAAAGTTAATAATAAATTAATAAATAAATAGATTAATTATAAAATTAAAATTAATTACACATAATAATAAATTAAACAATTTAAAAATAGTTTTAAAATAGTTTTCGAAGAAAAATGAAATGTGAAATAAAAGTGAAATAAAATATTATTGAAAAAAAAATGGTTTTAAACAAAAACGTTAAAAAAATAATTGAAACCTAAGTCAATAAGAAATTATTAAAATTAAAATAAAAGAGAATATTTTTCTTTTTAAATATAAATGAATTTATTTTTATTTTGGAAAAATTTTTTATTATTTTATTATATTATTTAATTTTATTCCTATAAATAGTTATAAAATATTTAAATACATAATTAAAAAAAAGTGAAATTAAATCATTTAAACTCACTTTTTTCTTAGAAGTAAATATTTTCTGATTCAATGTATCGTATATATTTTGAGCCTCTTGATTTATTTTTATACCGCTTTCTTGCATTCTCGATTGAAATAAAACATTTAAAGCATTAAATATATTTTCCTGATGAATTAATATATTTTTCATTTTCAAAAAATCAACTGTTGAGTTCCATTGTGAGTTCTTCTCCTCAGCACTAGCAGTCTAAATTAAGAAAATAAAACACACACAGACAAATTTTTAATTAATTAATTACAATATAAATTAATATTAACTAATTTTAATGTAAATTAATATTAATTAATTAATTAATTAAATAATTAGTACTAATAATTTGTTATTATTAAAAAATAGTTTAATTTTTTTTTCTAAACTTTTAATAATTTTGATTAATTTCATTTCCCCATTCTTCATTTTGTATTATTATTGTTTAATTAAAAAATTAATTTAAATTTTTTATACACAAATTATTAATAATTTTTATTAATTATATTTAATTATATATTTTATTTTTACAAATTAAATAAGTAATTAATCTTATGTTTAATGTAATTAAAAAATACATTATTAAAACAATGAATAAAAATAATAAAAATAATTTAATAAATACAATAATTAAATACAATATATAGAAAAACAGTTTTAATAAAGAACAACTTACACAAATGACGAGAAGAATAATTGAACAAAAATAAGAAAAATATTTTGACATGTTTCACAGTTATAAGTATAGAACAAAAAAAAATGATTAAAGTCGTGAGAATTGGACTAGTTTCACTTTTTTTTTAATGATAAAATTTGTGTCTCGTGTGTGTAAAATAGAATCAAATAGTGTCAACATAATATAAGAAAAAAAATTTTTTTTTTTTTGACACTTTTAATGATTGGCCCATTTATTAAGAGTTTGATAATGTTTGACATTATTCTCTGTCCCTCTTTTAAGAGCAATATAATCATCAAGGTTATAGATTTATTTCGCAATTTGAGAATTAAAATATTAAAAAAAAATTTGCTGACTCATTGAAATAAAAAATAGCAATAATAATTTATTTATACATTCCCCGCAGTATTACTATAATAACAATAACAATAACAATAACAATAACAATAACAATAACAATAACAATAACAATAACAATAACAATAACAATAACAATAACAATAACAATAACAATAACAAGAATAACAAGAATAACAAGAATAACAAGAATAACAAGAATAACAAGAATAACAAGAATAACAAGAATAACAAGAATAACAAGAATAACAAGAATAACAAGAATAACAAGAATAACAAGAATAACAAGAATAACAAGAATAACAAGAATAACAAGAATAACAAGAATAACAAGAATAACAAGAATAACAAGAATAACAAGAATAACAAGAATAACAAGAATAACAAGAAGAACAAGAATAACAAGAATAACAAGAATAACAAGAATAACAATATAAATAAAAATAACAAAATATAACAAACAATAATAACAATAACAAAATATAACAAACAATAATAACAATAACAGCAATAACAAAAATAACAAAAAATAACAAACAATAACAACAATAACATCAATGACAACAATAACAGCAATAACTACAATAACTACAATAACTACAATAACTACAATAACAAAAATAACAAAAATAACAGCCTCAAAAATTTTAAAGAATTTAAGAAAAATAAATAAAGACTTTTGAAGAATTTGACTAAAAAGCAAATTTTAAAAATATTTTATATAATTTTTGCAGAAGGAAATAATAATTTTAATAGACGTAGATTACATTAAAAAATATAATAAGAAAAAATATTAAACATCAATCGGATCATAATCTACTTATCATGAAATAGAGAATATGAACAAGTACGAAGAGTATATGTATAATTTTCATTCATAGAGAGAAATTTATATATAAAAAGTTCACCCCAATATATTGTATATTATACACATATATATATAAAGCGTTCCCATAGAATTGGTGCAACGGGGTGTCGTGGGAACCGTCTCGCTCAATATAAAGAAATTTTTTTTTTCATCATCATCGCAAGGGTGTCAACTACTAGCAAGTTGTTTAAGATTTTCTTTGAAAAAACCCAAATCAACTTCTTCATTCTGTTTACATATTCAAATGTCATATTAACAAGAAATGAAAATTATTGTTTTTTTCCCCTCTATATATTATATTCATATGCTATTATAATATCAAGGATAATAATTAAATTTGCAATAGGATAAATTTTTCATGAATTCACATTTATGAACTAATCTTTTTTCTTTCTGTTTCAGGAAGTGTCTGAGAATTACGTTGAATCATAAGCAAATCGTTGGGTGAGTCATTAATAATTGTTTTCTTTATTGCCTCTTTACATATATACTATACATATATATATATAAACTTTATTACTTTAAATCGCTGTATTAGATAAGAATACAATAAGGTACAAATAAATTAGAAGTCAAATTTTTATAAGTATATTAATTTTATTATTCTGCAGCTATAATAATAGTAATAATAATAAAAATAATAAAAATAACATTAACAATAATAATAATAAACAACAAAAAATAAAAAAAAAAAAATAATAATAATAATAATAATAATAATAATTGTAAATAAAATATAATAACAATATTAATAAAAGTCAGAAAAACAATAGCAGAAGTAATAACATTATAAATTTAAATATCAAGAGTAAGAGAAATAACAATAGACAAAAAAAAGAAATAGAAGTAACAACAGTAATATCAATAACAATGTCAATAAAAATAAAAACCACAATGAGAACAAAAATGTCAATAATAAAAGAAAAAGGAAAAGAAATATAAATAAGTAATAATAATAAAAATAATAATAAGAAAACACTATTATGATCATTATTTTTATTATTATTATTTTATTATTTTATTATCATTATGAAAAGTCATAAAAAATATATAAAGTAAAATTAATTAATCAAAAGAAATAAGCTAGCTGAAATTTTATAATTTAAGCAAATATTATATATTTCAAAATGTTTAAAAGCAAATAACAATGATAATTATGACCATAAAAGACAATTTTTGTCGAGTTATATAAATTTTCCTTTTCGATATTTTTTTCTACTTTTCCGGCATTGCGAAAAGAAATAAATACAAGAGGTCCTATCAGAATTTTTAAAAACACAATCTAAAAATAATAGAAATTCGTTTCCGCAACGGATTTACAACGAAAATTTGAAAATAAACACGATTTTCGTCCAATCGAGTGAATTTCAACAATCGGTATTTTTTATACACTTTATGCACTGCAAAAAGAAGTGAATGCAAGTGATCGCATCAGAATTTATCGAAAAGCAATCTAAAAAAAGCAGAAATTAGTTTTCGTAACGGATTTACAACGAAAATTCGAAAACAAACACGATTTTCGTCCAATCAAGAGATTTTTAACGATCGGGATTTTTTTTACACTTTAGGCACTGCAAAAAGAAGTTAATGCAAGTGGTCCGGTCGAAATCGCTCGAAAAGAAATAGAAAAATAGTAAAAATTACTTTCCGTAACAAATTTTCAACGAAAATTCGAAAACAAAAACGATTTTCGACCAATCGAGTGATTTTCAACGATCGGGATTTTTTTATACACTTTATGCACTGCGAAAAGAAGTGAATGCAATTGGTTGCGTCCGAATTTATCAAAAAGCAATGTAAAAATATCAGAAATTAGTTTCCGTAACGGATTTACAACGAAAATTCGAAAACAAACACGATTTTCGTTCATTCAAGTAATTTTAAGCAGCCAGGATTTTTTTATACACTTTATGCACTGCGTAAAGAAGTGAATGCAAGTGGTCCGGCCGGAATCGCTCGAAAAGAAATAGAAAAATAGTAAAAATAACTTTCCGTAACAAATTTTCAATGAAAATTCGAAAACAAAAACGATTTTCGTCCAATCCAGTGATTTTTAACGATTGGGTTTTTTTATACACTTTAAGCACTGCAAAAAGGAATTAATGCAAGTGGTCGCGTCCGAATTTATCAAAAATTAATAGAAAAATAGTTGAAATTAGTTTCCGTAACGGATTTACAACGAAAATTCGAAAACAAACACGATTTTCGTCAAATCAATTGATTTTTAACGACTGGGATTTTTTATTTACTTTAGGCACTGTGAAAAGAAGTGAATTCAATCAAAATTGCTCGAAAATCAATATAAAAATAGTAGAAATTAGTTTTTTTAACGAATTTACAACGAAAATTCAAAAACAAACACGATTTTCGTCAAATCAATTGCTTTTTAAAGATCGAGATTTTTTTATACACTTTAGGCACTGCGTGAAGAAGAGAATATAATTGGTTTTATCGAAATTTATCAATATACAATGTGGAAGAAGTAAAAATGAATTTCCGTTAGAGATTAACATCACATGAATTTCACAACAAGAAACAATTTTTTCCTAATCAAGTAATTTTTAAGAACATTTAAATTTATCTTGTACAGTTCAAGCACTGCGAAAAGAAGTAAATACAATTCGTTTAATTGAAATTCATCTCGAAAAATAATGTAAAAATAGTAGAAATTAGTTTCTGTAATGGTTTTACAACGAAAATTCGGAAACAAAAATGATTTTCGTCTAACCAATTGCTTTTTAACGACTGGGATCTTTTTATACACTTTAGGCACTACAAAAAGAAGTGAATGCAATTGGTCGCATTCGAATTTATGAAAAATTAATAGAAAAATAGTTGAATTTAGTTTCCGTAACGGATTTACAACGAAAATTCGATTAAAGGCACGATTTTCATCAAATCAATTGCTTTTTAACGTCTGGAATATTTTAATACACTTTAGGCACTGCAAAAAGAAGTGAATGCAAGTATTTTAGTCAATATTGATCAATAAACATTCGATAAGTAGTAGAAATTAGTTTCCGTAACAAAAACTCCAACATGATTCAAAGTAACAATGATTTTCTATACTAATCAGATAATTTTTAAATATTGTAATCTTTTCTTCTTTTTTGGCTCTGTGGAAAGAAGTAAATTCAATTCGATTTGTCGAAATTTATTAACAAATAATCTATAATTTGCAGAATTTAGTTTCCGTAACGGATTCGTATTGAAGATTCGCAAAAAATGACGATTTTCGCCTAATCAGATAATTTTTAAAACTTGGGATTTTTTCTACTCTTCTGGCTTTCCGTGAGGAAGTGAATACAATTCGTTTTGTAGAAATTGGCCTAAAAATAATTTATTAGTAGCAAAAATTAGGTCCTCTAACGGATTCCCATCGGAGTTTTGAAAGAAAAAACTATTTTCTCCGAAGCGAGTAATTTTTAACCATCGGGATTTTTTTCTTGCCTTTAGGCACTTCGAAAAGAACTGATTACAAGTACTTTTATCAAAATTAATCGTTAAAAAATTTAAGAACTAACAGTATTTAGTTTCCGTAACGGATAATAATACCCAAAATTCTCCTAAAAATCGATTTTCGCCTAATCAGATAATTTTTAACCATCGGGATTTTTTTCTTGCCTTTAGGCACTTTGGACAGAACTGAATACAAGTACTTTTATCAAAATTAATCGTTACAAAATTTAAGAAATAGCAGTATTTAGTTTCTGTAACGGACATTAATACATGAAATTCTCACAAAAAATCGATTTTCGCCTAATCAAGTAATATTTTAACTATTGGATTTTTCTCTTTCCTTTGGGTCCTACAAAAAGATGCGGGTACAAGAAATTTTTTCGAAATTTACAAATAAATAATCGAATTTTGCCAAAAATGTATTTCTGTCCAAAAAACAGATTTCGAAAAGATGTAAAAAAAACCATTAATTTTCTAATTTAGCACAAAAATTTTTTTCTCCTCTAAATGTCTCTTTTAATTCACAAATATTATGAAAAAATATTAAGGAAAATACGAAAAAAAATAATAATAGAATAAAATTAATAAAAAATAATTTTTGGAAAATAATTACAGTTTACAGAAAATAGTGAAAAATGGAAATTAGAAAAATACTGAAAGGAGTAAGGAATAGTAAGGAAAAGTACAATAAAGTTTTTAAAAAAATAATAATAAAATAATTTTGGAAAAATAATTACAAAAATTACTAAAAAATGGAAATTAGAAAAATACTGAAAAGCAGAATTTATGGAAAAATAGTTCAAAAGGAATATTTAGAAAAATAAAAAAAGGACAATTGCAAAAATACTGTAGACGAGCAATTATAGTAAATTTTAACAAAAAATCAATAGTATTACTACTGACATTTTATTTTAACACCTAATGAACATAAATTATTTGAAAAAACAAGAAAATAAAAAGTGTGTGAAATTTTCAGTCTACTTTTAGATTTTTCCTTTGCATACACTTATTTTTATGTGTATATGTATTCGACACACAGAAATCAAGGAGGAATGTCACGTTTGCCCTCCACAACGGAAGTATCGTATCGATTGCATTTACCCCCCTCCACCTCCCTTTTCCTCCTACCCATCGCTCTCCCCCTCCACAAACCTCTCATCCCACTCTCGTCTTCATCCGGTTTTTTCGTCAAATATATACATATATATATAGAAATCCCTTCATCATAAAATATGTTCTACCTTACCTTTCGGGAAATGCGATGTGATCAATCACATACTTATAAAAAAAAGTGCACTGACTAATGTTTCCCATTTTTCAACGATGAGAAAGAAGAGGAAAAAAAAAATATTTTGCAAATTTTTTTTTCTTTCTAAATTTTTATTTTTCAATCGATTATCAATTAAATATGTATTGATTTCTTATTCTTATGTATCAAGAGGAAAAGTAAAGGAATAATTTTCTGAGAGGAAGATTATTTCGTAATTAGCAATAAATTGTGATTTAATTATAATTAATTTTTTCTTCGAAAATAAAAATAGTGGAATAAATTATTACATGAACAATTATTATTACTTATGGTTTTTATATATTTATTATTTTCAATTTTGGAAATTTTATACTAATAGCATTTTTTTTTTTTTTTTTTTTTTTTTTAAATTGCTTTTACTAAATAAATCAGGAAGCATCGTCTATGTATAATTTCCTAAATCAATTACTGAATAAATAATTAAAATAATTGTTTCCATGAATAATTATTGCAAATATTGTTATTTTCAATATTTTTACTCATAAACAATTTTTAAAGTAAATAAATATTAATAAGATATAATAAATTAATTGCAAATATTGTTTTCCACAAATGTTATACTCGATTTATGTAAAAAATGAATAAATAATTAAAGAAACAAATTAAAAAATATTTTTACTGTTAAAAAAAAAATTTAAAAAAAATTTTTTTTTTTTAAATTGTTACTGTAACAATA